CCCAAAAGTATGCAATCCAAGGTCTCCCCCGCAAAGAAGAAGAAAATAAACAAAATCAGCACATTTTCAAGTGTGACCCAAATTTCAAAAAATTTCTTTCAATTTCTTTCTTTTTTTTTATATTAAGTATTTAAAAAAGCTACTTAAATTATAAGAAGGGTGGTTTAAGATAATTATTTATTAAAAACTCTTTAGTTTATCTCACTAATGTAGTGCAAAGGTTCCTTTTTTTAATAAATATATGATCTCGTGTAGAGGTCCCCAATTCTTAAGTGTGTTTAATCGATAGATCTATCGATAACGATCTATCGCAATGGCAGTTAAATAAGGAAAACATAACTTTATAGCTTAAGTAATTTTTTTTAAAATAATATATTTTACTTTACCCTATAAATGGATTAATTTATTAAGATTCTTCTTTCTATAGCTATAAGAAGCTTTTTCTTATAGTTTGGTCACACTAAACCATAATATTGAAAAAATAATGCTTAGACTTTCGCTTACCACAACTATGATCTTAAAATATTAACATTATCTTTCAAAACTTACCTAAAAAGAGAAGAAAAAAAAAGATTAAATTAGTTATTAAATCACAATCAAATATTTAAAATTAAGATTAATTATAGTAGATTATATAGACTAACTATTCACGGATTGAACAAACTGCCTGTCCATATGCTGCTTATCCGTCGGTGGCTTCGAGACGCCCTCTTGGGCGACTCCTTTGAGTCTCACATCCCGCTGCGTGGTCTGTTTAACTAGTTTCCTGTTAGTCGATATTTTAACGGGATTCACGCGACAATAGATCGCGTGTCCTCGATTATCGATATATCGGATTGTAACGGATCGGCAGATTATGGAGTTCCTATCTCGATTATATGGTCGCGATTCGATGGATTTGAAAGCGTTGCCGTTTTGTACGGCGGCGTATGGGTGTGGAATATAAAACGAAGGATTTTGTACAGAATTTTGACAGCCTAGGCGGAAATAAAACGATTGCTATTTTATACATATATACATAGACACAGAGTGAGTAAATAAACCTAATATTTGATTTTAAAATAAAAACAATAGTAGAATTAAAATTTAAATTAGTTAAAAACTAAGAACAACTAACTAAGGTAAGTTAATCAAGAAATCTTTTCAGGTGGTTTTCTTGGCATTAAAACACATGTTTGTTTAAAATTTTAAAACATTTCTAGAGGTCTCTGCCCTTGCTCGATATTATTTTTGGGGGATCGTTAAGATTTTTTATAGAGTATATGGTATATGTGTACCCCCCCGGGGGTGTAATTGCATTGATAAATTATGGATTGTGGATTTGGAACAACGCCAAGTGCACGCACAAATGTACACACACGTTTTGGGGGTCATTCGTCCGATTGTGAAAATAAATACACACAAATATTTATAAGACAAAAAAAAAGAATTATAAATTATAAATAAAAATATACGAATTACATAAATATTTATGAGAACAGAGAAAGAAAAGTCATAGAGCTGCATGTGCGCCGCTTGCTTTACCGCTTGGAATGCACCACCCCTTTTCTTGCCCCTCTTGAGCACCCCAGGGCAGCAACCCATGCACCACCCTCCCGCCACCCCTCCTTCTTTTCTATGTGGGTCATTATCTTGTTTACGCCGGACGCCGATGACGCAGCGCTGCCAAGGCAAGCAGAGCTGAGAACGCACGATCCTCATTGAAATTACACTGAGAAAAAAGGGATGTTTTGAAAATAATTTTACAAATTAAAGACAATTTTAGGCTTTTGAAAAAAGCTTAGATTTGAAGGAAAAATAAATATTTTTTTAAAAAAGTTATGATTTTTTTCAGTGTATAGTACTGATCCCGGCTTCTCTTTGTTTATTTAGCTTATGTAGTGCCATTTATGATTTGCAAATAAACAAATAAACCCAAAAGCCCCAATTAAGTCAAGTGCAACCAAAATACACAAACTCTCCGCCGCATAAACAAAGTTTATACCGTGAATGAAGGTGAAAGAAAGAGAGAGAGAGAGATATCGCATTCAGGTGGGGAAAAGTAAGCCAAGTGGGTGGTGAGTGGGTGTCTATGACGAGGGACAGTTGGATTTAAAAATGCATTCCAATTAAACAATTAATGATTAAAAGCACCTTGATCAATGAATCAGAATACTATACACTTGAAAAAATAAAAAAAAGATCTTTTGAAATAAAGAGATCCTTTCATCTTAAGAGGATCTATTTCTGATCATTACAAATTTAAGAGATAATTGGAGTAAGAGAGGAGCATCTTCTGCTTCTTTTTTCAAAAGTAAAGAGAGTACACGTGAGATGAGAATGAGAAAGAGAAAGTCTATTTCTGCTTAGTGAGAGTGTATTATTTTTAGTGAATTAATTACACAGTAATTACATTTAGTTTTTTTTTTTTTTAGTTAATTTTAATTTTTTTTAATTGAAATTTCGTTTTTTTTACCTTCCATTAGGGAACCGCGATTAATCCACATGCTCATCCCTTTGAGAAGCCAGCAGTAAAGGCGAAAGAACAAAAATACGCTGGGCAACGGCGACGACGTCGACGTCGACGCCACTGTCGCAGTCGCTGTTGCCGTCAGCGTCGACGGCAGTAACAGCAGCAACAGAGAAGCGCAATGAAGTTTTTTTTTTTATTTTCGACTTTTGCTGGCTGGCTGACTGACCTTCTTCTTCTTTGTTATTTTTTTTTTTGTCTAAAAAATAAATTTAAAAAAAAAAAACACAAAATCCAAGAATACTTTCGGCTGCACAGCCGCTGTCTGCTTAGCAGTTGCTGCGCTGTCAACTGCAGCAGTACACACACACACACATACACAAGTACAAAAAAAAAGCTTTTTTTTTGGCTTAATATTTTTTCGAAATTTTTGTTTAAAGTTTTTTAGAATTTTTGAAATTAATTTTTTGTAAAATTTACAATTTTGAAGCGAAGAGCGGCGAAGAGAACTCAACTCGCAGCGAACAAATCTCAAATCGAACTGAACGGCAGGGGGCAGAGGCGCTGGCCGAGCGGCAGCAGCAGCAACAGCAGCGCAGCGGGAGCAGCACTACTTCTCACAAGCGGCAAATTGAAAGTTTTTCCTTTTTCGAATTTTTCTTTTAATTTTTTTTTTTTTGCGATTTTTTAAAAACACTATTTTTTAGATGCCGCGTGTTTTTATTTCTTCGGCGTTCTTCTCGCCACGAATTTCGTATGCTACTACTTAAAAATTTGCCTTTTTCGCTGCGGAATTCACGAAAAAAAAAACAAAAAATTAAAGCCAACCAAAAAAAAAAAAAATCACAAATGAATAAAACAAAAAACGGCACAGGCACACTCTCCCGCACTCATACACAGCCAAACCAAGCTGTATGCAGCGGCAAATGCGGCGAATAGCGGCGAGAGAGCCACCTTATGTGCGGCGAAACCCCCCCAAAACAAGAGAGCGGTCAGAACATACGACTGTGGTGAAAATGGGCCCCACTGGTGGGTGAGAGCGGTGCTCTCTGTGTGTGTGTGTGTGTGTGGCTACAAATCGATTGACTTGGGAGAGCAAGCGAGAAAAATAGAGAAAGATGTGGGGGGAGGTGTGTGGGGGGCAGGCAGCGCACAGGTGGACAGACACTAGGTAGAGGAGAGCTGATAATAAAAAGGGAATATATTTCGCAAAAAAAAAAAAATCAAAGTAATAGTAAAAAATAAAAAAAAAAAATTAAAATCTAATACCCTTCAAAATTACTAATAATTATTATAATTAATAACTAAAAAAAACTAATCAATGGCAGCTAGAAGCTTTAAAAGAAAGCCAAGACATCTTATCAGTTGAGAGATACCGTTAAGCGGAAACGGCTTTTGCATTTCTCGCGCTGACCTTGAACTTCCCATGCATCGGATTGCATCTTTTCGTCTCTCTGCCTGCCTGCGCCTGTATGCAGTAGCACACTTTCGGGCTGACCTCGCAAATCGATTTCCAGCCATCCTGCTCCATTTTGGATAAGGAGGGGGAGGTGGAGGGTTTGGAAATTTATCGCCAAATTTCACTCAAATTCGTAGCTAATTGAGAATCGGAAAGAAATCGGCCATGATAAGGAGGTCTTGGTGGGTATCCTCAGAAAAAAAGGACGAAATTTTGAAAAAATATTTTAGAGCAGGATTTTGATCCAGAATGATGGGGAATATATCCAGAAATCTTTTAAAGTAATCCACTTTAAAATCGGTTCTCTAACAAAAGAGATATAGCCTTTATAAAGAGCTTTTCTTAATTTTTATTTTACCGCAAATCTTATCCTAAATGATCTTAAAAGAGAGACTAAGAGAGAGTTAAGAGTACTCACTGCATGTTTTGACGCCTCCCAGGACCAGACTCGGCGACTGTTTATTGCCCTCAGCGAAGGAGGAAGTTCTTGGACGACCGCTCATGGTGACGCTGCTCTTCTACTTCCTGCCGCTGCCTCTCGACTCCTGCTTCTTCTTCTTCTTCTTCTGCTGCTTTTATCCTTTTATTTTGTTGTTCTAGACTTTTTTTCTTCCAGTGTTGTGTATATTGTGTTGGTCGGGGTGTAATTTTAATTAATTTTAATTTTAATTAATCGTATTATTGGTAGGATGGTGGCGGACCAAGAGAAGAAAGGGGGGGACAGAGTAGTGGTTAAGGTTGAGTTTATATGCCCAGCGATTTCAAAAAAAAAAAACAAAAACAACGCGTTTATTTTAGCTATTTTAGTTATATTTAATTATTTTTTTCAAGTGTATTCTATTGCTCTGTATCCTTGTGATCCTGTTTATTTGTTGCTTTTGTATTTTTTGGCTTCTTCTGTGGCTGCTCCAGGTGCTCTTTTCCGCTGCAAAGCACGGCCATTGGCATGCACGCCTCAATGTATGCAATACTTTTTGTCTCCTCCTCCCTTATTCTTCCCTGTTTTTCGTTTTGTTTTTTTTTGTTGTTGTTTTTCTTTTCTTTTGTATTTGATTTTATTTTTTGATTCTCTCGGAATTATTTTTTAGTTTCTTTTTTTTGGTTAATTAACTTTATTTTTAACACACACCAAAGATTGTAATTGTTCAATTAGCTGTAAAAAAATGATATATTATTATAAATAAATTAGATTTTTTGGTTTAGAATTTTTTAATTTTTTTATTGGCACGTCACGTGGTTTTTTTTTAATTTTTTTGGCTGTTATTGCTGACTCATCCATACACACATAAAGTTAAATGATTTTTTTTTTTAAAGCTTTTTTTCTAAATTGCACAACATTAGAAATGCGCTTATTTTTTTGTATTTTTTGCGGAAGTTCTCTTTTCTCTCTCTTATTGGCAGCGCTTCAAAAATGCCAGAACAGGATGGCCTGCAATTAGGAAAGAAAAGTAAAACAGTTAGTTATGATGAGAGTGTGCACTCTTAATTAGATCTATTTTCAATTTTAAATTAATTTAACAAACAAGAGCCCCCCCCCCCATGCCTGTAATGACTGACTCTTAGCCAAGTTAATTCGATTTACCTGAAAACTCTGTGAGTGTGTGTGTGTGTGTGTGTGTAAATTGCAGTAAATTGAAGCTAAATGGCAAAGGAGAGAGCGAGATCGACAAAGGAGGCGCGAGTTCAGAGAAAGGAGGCAAGGGTTGACTAATGCACTTCTCTTACTCTCCTCTCCTCTCCTCCTTGGCTCCTTCTCTGTGTCAACAAAATAAATTGCCTCGTAATTCACAAACAGATGTTAATCAAAGACAGAGACAGGGCGATGGATGGGGCGGTTTGGAGGGCCAGAGCGAGACAGTTAGCTGCGGGTCAGCTGGGAAAACCACAAAAACAAAAAAAAAGCTTAGGTCAGTTCAAGAGAGAGAGAGAGATATGGAGGGAGAGCCAAAAGTAATTGCAAATGCATTAGTCAGAAATTCAGGGGCTAAGGCTAGGGCGTGGCCCAAAACTTTGATTGACCTATTTGGAAATTACAAGCCCCCCCCTAACCTCTAACCTCGTTCTAGTCTCCTTTGGACTTTAAAACTTTAATTGGCCTTTAAAAACAATTCAATTAGTTTGCCACACAACAAGTCCTTTCCTGCCATCCTTTGATTAAGTGTCCTTTCAATAAAAAAGAAGAAGAAGAAGAAAAGCAACTGCAAGAGAAAGAGATGGCCTGCATACCGCCGCCTGACAATGACACCATTTAATTTTAAATAGATCAACGGTAAAGGCAAGTCAGGCAAGTGTTCTCTCTCTCTCTCTCCCACTCTCTCGCTGACACCAAAAGGACAACGCCAAAGGACGAGAGGCGGGGGGGAGAGGCGGGGGGGGGATCTAAAAAAATTTATGACTCGCCACCACGCAAGTCGAACAAACTGCATGCAATAAATTTAAGGACAATAAAAGGACGACAAGTACTAAAATGAAAATGCTCTAAGGACACAGCCTTAAAAAGGATATTAAAGTTTTACTTAGTTTTTTTTTTTTTTTTTTTAAAACTTAATTTTTTAGCTTTTTAAAATTAGACTCGAACTCCTAGCTTGGCAACTCTTTTGGCTAGCAAGAGAGAGAGATAGAGCGGTAAGAGAGAGCACCGTTAGCATTGAAGAGAGTGGGGGGGGACTGTTCTATGGCGACATACCGACGATGACAACGAGGACGCTTCGTCGCTGTCGTCATGCGACTGACGCCGCCATTTGACCCACAAAAACCGAAATGCCGCAGCGTCGCAAAGGTTCTCCAATTTCCAAAAACCCCCACCGAACCTCCCTAATATTACCCACTAAGCTCATTTCCATTCATTCAATTAGCTCATTCAAACTTTTGACCAAAAAAAAAAAAATAAAAGAGAGAGAGAGAGGAAGAGAGAGGTCGAAGGTCGCCGCCTAGCCGGGGACTAACTAAGTGAAATTGCGTGTTTGGAACAAGTTAATTCGCACAAAGCTAGCCCCAATTCGGTAATTAACGTTTCTTGGCCAAGGGATATTTGTATGGAATTTTAGCCAAATTGAAATTAACTTGGCCATAATTGGAATCTACCAAGGAATTTAAATAATAATACTTGGCTTTTAAGAGCCAAAGCCATCCTTGATGCTGTTCTGATACTGGCTATATAAATTATCGATCTATAAAGGGCCATAAAAGGGAGGGGGGCTGCTAGGCAACCCAAAAAAATAAAAATATAAAGAGGAAGAAAAATACAAGACTAAATACACAACAAAATCAAGAAAAAGGAAAATCAATGAGATGGCAAAGGGTGTGCGCTAGTATTAGTGACCACACTCCAGAAAGTATGCTATGAAAGTTCAGCAGCAAACATTGCTCCACCACCCCCCACCCACTCATGGTATTTTTTTTTTTTGCAAACCACCCAAAAAACGCCCACAAATGCGAATCCATCAAGGTTAAAAGCGTCAAGGCAAACATTTTGGCAGAACAAACAGGCCAGGAGGTGGGGAGGCGTGTGGGGTATGGCGTGTGATGTGGGCAGTGGGGGGGTCCAGGACGGGGGACTGAGAGAAAGCTAACGGGTGACGACAGCTCACACTCTCCCACTCTCGCTTCTCTCTCTTGGCTCTTGCTCTTCTTATGGTCGCTCGCTCTTCTGCCAGAACGAATTTTTTTAATTATTAAATAAATAATTAGAAATAGTAATTAATTAATATTAATTTTATTTATTTTTTTTAACATTTTCTCTCAGTGTTTCAATTGTATTCCAATTTTCTTCTTTACAACTATTGGCAGTTCGATTCCCTTGAGTTTTTCTAATTGAATTTAAAATGGAGCTGTCGTTGCTGCCCCTTTGACCTCTCCCTCCCCTTCTCCTTTCTTCCTATTCTGTTACCCATTCCCCCCTCTCAAAAAAAAAAGAAATGTCGCCAATGGGGATTATTTTTGGCAAAAGGAGGCGGGGCACATCGAGCCGCCGCCTTTGCGCGTCATAATTTTCTTTTTTTCTTCACCTCTCTCTCGCTCTTTTCTTTATTTAAATTTCTCTTATTGTTGTTGCTGTTGTTGCTTTAGTGCTCTTTGCCGGCTATTTTCGCGTGCTTTTCACACGTATTTTTAGTTGGCTCCTCTTTATTTATTGATACACGCGCCCCACACACACACACACACAAAGAAAGTACTTTCTTTTTTATTGAAATCTTAGAAAGATTTTAGGTCCTTTCTTGAAAAATTTGGGAGCTTTTACTCAGATAGCTAAAATGATCGATTAGTAATCGATTTATCACATGTAGATCTTTAGGGTAATCGATAAAAGATAAAGAAATAAATGAATTTTAGATACTTTCCCCAAAATCTTGGAATCTATAGGATAATCGATTAAAAAAAATTAAAAAAATGAGAAAAATTGTTTATTTTTTTAGTAATTTCTTAAAAACAATATTATGATCTATAATGTTATCGATTAAAAAAAGGAAAAAATGGTATATTTTGGTTACTTTTTCCTAAAAACCCAGGAATCTATAAGAAATCGATTCAAAATAGAGGAAAAAATTGGTATATTTGGGTATTTTTCCTCAAGAAACCCTGGTATCTATAGGTATTTTAGTAGCTCCTCTATAAAAATTGTATGATCTTTAAAGTAATCCATTAAAAATAGGAAAATTTTATATTTAGTAAGTTTTAGCAAAAAAACCCAGGAATCCATAAGTAATCGATTAAAAAAACCCAAAAAATTAATATATTTAAGTAACTTTCCTCAAGAAACTTTGGGATCTATAGATATCTTAGTAATTCCTCTTTAAAAATCATATAATCTATAAAGTAATCCATTAAAATAAGGAATAAAATTACCTATTTTAGTGTAGTAGAAAGGATTTGTATATTAGTTAGCTAGTTATTAGTTAAGGATCTCTAGTACAAGTATCTATAGTATATCCACCATTATAACCGATTAAACAAAGAACTCTTTCAAGACCATCTAGCTCCACCGATCAACCAACTCGACTCTATTATCGCTTAGTCATTTCTATATTTCTATATATTATCTATGAAAGAGCCCTAAAAACGAATGGAAAACGGTAGGTAATATCAAAAAACCATATAAAGTAAATTAACCAACAAAGAACCTCAAAGAACAAAAAAATCATAATCTTATCTGGATGGGGGACTGGGGTATACTGGTGGGCAGTACTGCTGCTGGGGGGTGGGGAGTTTCAAATCTTTGGCATTATTCGAAAAAAAAGTGTTTGGAAACAACAACAATAACAAGAAAATAAGGCTGATTGTATCAGTTTGTAGATAGGAGAAGGTATTTCTTAGATTATAAGAGGGGATTTCTATTTGTAGGTCTTGTTATTATTTCTATTTTTTTTTTTTTAATAAATATTTTATAAAAGCCAGAAAACTTACTTAATTGTTAGAGAATAGTGTTACCAAAGTCTAATAGTTTTTCACACGCAAAAAAAAATTGACAAAAAAAAAGAGCCAGCCCACCGGCAGCTTTCAAAGTAAATGCAAATTTTTGCACTCTTTTTGGTTTTTTTTTTTTTTTGACACTCGCACACACACACCGACAGTCACACTAACACACTAAAATGTCAAACGCACGTGACACACACAATTATGTAATTTGCAGCAGCAGGAGCAGCAGCTGATTTTTGGTCTATAAACACACATATTTCCATATAAAAATGGTGGTTTAGGCCCAAAAGCAGACTATCGAGGAAAATGCAAGAGAAAAAAAAACAACAAAAAAAAAACAATGCGAATAACTGTATGGGGGGGAAGAAAACGTGGAAAACGACGGCAGCGTGCGGAGAAAAGTTCGCATTGATTTTGAGTCTGCTGCTGGCCAAATTCGACTGACACAAGTCGGCCAGAATGCGAAAAGTCGAAACGTTAAGAGAGCGAGAGAGAGAGAGCCAGCTAGTCAGTCAGAGAGTACCCGAGAGAGCGAACAGGAGCACAGGACGCTTACTGAGACGCAACTAGTGCTGTCAGACGCTTTACAACACTGGGCCCCCCCAATTCCTATAATGATGTCAGTCGCAGGCGCAGGCTTCCCGCCAAAACATGTCCTTACATGTCCACAAATTGATTATTTCAATAGCTTAATCGCCATTCTAAGCCAACATTACTGTAAAACAGGGTTGCCTAAGACAACAAAGCTAAGCAAACATTCAATTATTAACATGAAGTGGCGAAACTTTTTCGTAAATATTTGAAGCGATGACGAATTGGAATAATCGATAGAACGTTGGTCGGCGTGCAAATTGTGTACAAAGTATCGGAATGAATTGTATATCCTTCATGCGCAGGCGAAGGACAGCACACATACATGGGGGAAAGTGTTGCCAACGAAACTCGGAAAACCGGAGCACACTAACACTCTCACACTAACACCAACACAGTGGCAAGGCGAGGAGGAAAATGGGGATGAGAAACAGCTGTGCTGAAGAAAAAGACCTGCAACTAGGCTTCAATCTTACTGCTCTTCTTCTTTTAGGATTCTATATATATATAATATATATATCTATTTTTTTGAGACAATTTAAAACCGCGTTGCCACGCGAAACACACGCACACGTGCCCAGGAAGTTGACAACTCTGGCTCTGGACGTGTGTATGCGTGTTCGTGCCCCTGCAAAAGTTTCGTGGGCGTTGCTGGGCATGTGTGGGTGTGCAAGTCTAACCCTGTATGTGTGTATATATAGAATAGGTGTGATGTCGTGCCGTCGCATAGCGTGCAATTCCAACCTTTGGGCTCTCTTCCGCCTTCCACTCTAGTACTCTCTTTCTCCTTGCCCACCGCCCCACACTAGCTCTTTCTCTCACTCTCTTAAGCTACCTGTCTTGCTTGTACCTTGCACCTCAGCTAGGAATGATATTTACTGTTAAGGTGAGATTCCTTCCTTTGAAAAAGTAACTGTTTCCTAGGACCGTGGGAATAAATGATCAAATTTCCTTTCGCATTTCAAAGAAAAATAAATAAAATAATAATGGAATGGTGGGGGGGGGGGAGAGAATCGAACACGCGTCTACATCGATTCTGGCCTATTTGTTTGTTTGTGTTTTTTTTTTTTTTCGTGTAGACACTGGATGGCTGGCGTCGATTTCAATGTCACACGCCGTGCAAACGTTGCACTTTGCAGCCAGAATAATAATGGTCAACGATAATAATACCAAACAACAACAACAACAATGAACAACAATAACAAGAGCATGAGAAGAGCTCTATAATGGAGGGCATGGAACACACAAATCATTTTCGCACGATTTTTCGCTTTATTTAATTTAAATTTTATTTTCTTTCTGGGCCCCACGTCGCCATAGTCACAATACAGTGGTTAAAAAAAATAATAAAAAATAAAAACAAATAATCTTATAAGAGAATTCTATTTTATTAAGCTTTTAAAATTAAAAATAATTAAAATAAATTTAATTTTTTTTTGGAAAACTCTAACCCACATGACGCACTTCTCCGGTCGTTCCCCACTCTCACCTTTCTTTCTCTGACAGGCAGGCAGGTGCAAGAATGTGTATGAGTGTGTGTGTGTGTATGTGTGACCCACACAGCTGACCGATCTTTCAAAAGGAAACCCTTAAGAGACTCATATTGGCAACAAATTATCTCCCGAATGAGAAAAAAAAAGTGAATAAGATATGCGATTTCCAATCCTATATTGCTATGAAATACAAATGAATAATATTATAGATTCTACAGATATTCGAGGGGGGTACTCACGGATTCAGTTCTTAACTCCACTGTGCGCTGGCAGCGCGGCTGACGTCGACGCAGGCGTAGGCGTAGGCGTGGACTGCAGTTCGTTCGTTTCTGTGCATTCGATTTCGCGTGTGTGTGTTTGTTTGCTGTTTGCAACAAATTTCTTTCGATTTTGCTTTCTTTGCTTTATCTTTTTTTTTTTTTTTTATTATTTTTTTTTATACATATATATTTAATTTTTTGCTTGGTTGCAACACTCGAAAAAAAAAAATTATTAGATTATTGAAGCCGAGAGAGACACGCGACACTCACGGACACACTCACACACACCCGTACACTTGTTCACTTGCTTGTGTAACGCAATTTCCTAGCCTTTCTGTGTGTTGGTGCGGTTTTTTTTTTTTTTTTGCAATTGTTAAAAAAAATATATGTATTTTCGATCCAAAATTGTAAAATTTTTGTTTTAATTTTCAAGAATTTCCCACACTCTTTGGAAAATTATTCTCAAGCAAAAAAAAAAAGGAGAAAAAAATGGGGTGAAAAAAAAAAAGCGAACATACACGCAGGCACGAAATCGTCGGGAGAGCGGCGTTATTTATTCGATATATTAATGTTAAAATCGCTTTTCATATACTATATACGATTTAGTATCCTATATTGCGTTTTTTGCGCCGCTTTGCCCGACATTTCTTTCGTTTTATTCCATTTTTTTTCGACTGCTTTCCTTCACTTACGCACACACACACACACACACACACATACACATACGCATCCACACGCTCTTTTTTTCGTCTTTTGCTACACCTTGCTTCCGCATATACCTTTCACACTCACACTCACTCAGCACCAGCACGAGATGAGGAAAAACTCCCGTATGTTGCGGCCTTTTGACGACAATTTTCGTTGGCACTTTGTTCGATAAGTATTCGGCACACTTGAATATTTTTTCACTTTGGTGTTTTGGAATTGAGGAAAGAAGAAACACAAACCACGAAACTGAAGAAAATCGACGCCAAAATGGAGGCTAGGGATGTCGAAAATATTTATTTATATCGAACTATCGATACAATTATTTTGTTCCCCTCAAATATCGCATCAATTTGGTCACACTGTGGTCCTACACAGGCTTTGCATTCTGTTTATAGAGGTTGACCACAGTGCTAAATTTTGTTACCCGTATTGATAGTATTCCGCTTTGAAAATTGGCTGCTTTAATCTCAAATATCCCCTCTCGAATCTTCGATTTTTTAAATATTTTCGTTGGCAACTATCGATAATTTTGGTACATCACTAATGAAACCGATTAAAATACTTTTAAATTACCAGAAAATTTCCCTGAGAGCGTTGCCATACTGTTGTTTTCGATAACTTTTCAACAGTGCTGGAAAGTGCGCATGTAATCCCGCCAAACTAATTTCCCAATTGTTTTCAAATTTTTTAATCCAAGATAAATAAAACAAGCTTTTACCTTGGTATAACATATTGCCCTATAATTCATTTAATATTTATAAATATTTTATAACGTATGTATGCGTCGTAAAATCTTGGAAAAAGTTCAACATCTTATAAGTACGAAAAAAACAAACGATGAAAAAACACACACTGATAAATACCGACAAAGGATAGTTGAAAACAATAATACGGTTAGGGTAGCGGGAAGGATATATATATATATAATGTCTGAAGTTTTGGATCTTGGTGTTTCTTTTTTTTTTTGGCCAACAACAACGAACAAGAGGCGCCTGTATCTGTTTCTGTGTCTGGTTTTCTGGTTTCTGTATTTAGTTAGGAAGTTTAGTAGGGTATCTGATTCTGGTAGTACTGGATCATATCGTAGGTACGCGTGCGGAAGTTCTGATACGAGTTCCGGATAACAGCCAGCATATGGGCGGCCGCTTCCTTATTATTTTTGGTTGCCACAAATCGCTGTTTCAGCAAATTGATCGTCTGACCCCGGAAACAGGGTAATCCCGTGTCGAGCATCAAGGATACTAAAGAGACAATAGCATCTTGATAGGGTCGCACCGCCAGGAAGGCCTGGACGCACAGTTCACAGAACCATTTGAAGGCCGGCGAGTCCATTTTGCCGCCCATGATCATCACCATTTCGTCGGTGAGCTTCATGTCCGGCTCGAAGCCGATATTACCGCCCGGCGATGACTCGAACATGAAGCCGAAATCTATCGAGGATTAGGTCAGATATTGTATGATTTAAGGGCACCACCACCACCACCAACCCCTTACTCACCTATGTGTATGATGTGGCCATCCTTGTCGATCATAATGTTGCCGTTGTGACGATCCTTGATCTGGAGCAGATATCCAATCAGCGAGTAGGCGGCCATCGACTTGACAAAGTTGGCCCGGGCCGCTTGGAATTCCTTGGAGCTCTCATCGCCGTACTGGTGCTGGAAATACTCGGACAAGCCGCTGTCCGTTTGCCGGCCCAGCTGGTCGCGGGACTTGGCATTTGGCACACACTCGATGACGCCGCACTGGAATCAAGGATATAGACTCCTATAGACTCCACTTTCTAATTTGGATGCAGGGACTTACCCCGGGAGCGGTGGCCACCACACGGTAGGGGAACAGGAACAGATCCAATCCCACTTGCTGGAAGATGTTTTTGAAAATGGTGATGACCTGCAGGGCCAGCATATCCTGTCGCACATCGTCGCCCACCTTGAAGATGGCCGCCTGCCACGATTCCACTCCCAGCGTCATCTTGGCATCTTCCTGGGAGTTCTGTAATGGAATCTAGGATTAGGAAAGGCAAGAAATAAAGAAGAATGAGTTGAATCCTTACCGGGTTATTGGACACCTCCATGGCTCTCGTCTCTAGCTCGTTGATGCCGCACCTGTAGACCCGGAAACGGGCCAAGTACGGCGCCTTGGCGGCACTCTGCATGGGCGTGCCACTGCTGTAGTCGATGTCCAGGACCATGGCCTCCGGATTCGAGGGAAGATAGCAACCGCCTTGCACCTTGATCCGGCTCAGTGCCGCCAGGCAGGCGTTCTTCCGCTCAATGCCCTTGGGGAAGGAGCGTATCTCGCCCGATACCGCCGTGATCTTGCCAAAGAAGTCGAACTCCCGCTCGTAGAACCTCTTGGCCGCCCCCGAGAAGGAGGCGATAATACTTTGGGACAGCTGGTCCAGGGCCTCGTACAGGTTGGGATCGCGGTGCTGCTGGTCCTCGTCCATGTACATGTTCGTCTGCATGTTCCAGATCAGTTGGTGGGCCACGATCTGTGATCGGCGCGAGATGTTCTTGATGAACTCCACCACATAGCCCATGGTGTCGTGCCGGAGGGCCTGCACCAGTTGTGGGATGTACGGCAGCACCGATTCCGCCGGATAGGAGGACAGGGTCTTCACCGCGTACTGCGCCGTCAGCGGATGCGATGGATACTGACGCGAAAAGTAGGCCAGGGCCTGGATGGGCGTTACCGGCGACCAGGAGAGGATGTAGACCAGATCGGGGCTCTCCTGGAGCAGGTTCTTGGTGGTGCACAGGTACTTCAGCGCTTCGGGAATGTGACAGACGGCAATGGGATCGGAGCAGACCAGGCGGGACACCTCCTCGTCGATGATCTCGGCGTTCTTGATGCGCTGCGGCAGGAAAACGGCCAGCGAGGGATTGTAGCACCAGGCCAGGCGGGCGTAGTCCCGCCAAACGTTGGGCTTGTACGGCCGGTTACGCCACTCCGTGATCTGTTCCTCGCCTGCAAGGGATTGGGTCACAAAATGCAAGCAAGATAAGGGAATCGTAACTCACCCGGCACTACCAGATCCGGCAGACTGTTGGGATTATACCAGGTGATGAGGAACTCCAGCTCCACGGCCAGCAGCTCCAGGATGAGGTTGCGCTTCTTCATGTAGTCCTTGTCGTAGGAGTCCTTCTGGTACTGCAGCCGCTTGGAGCGATTCGATCGCTTGGAGAGGGTGGAGGTGGAGTGGGGAATGGTGTTGTACCAGCCGCTGCTGCTCCCACCGCCGGCCATGCCCACGCCCACCACATTGCCGCTGGCGCTCATCGACCGGGTGTAGTCCGTAATAATGCCACCGCCACTGATCAGGGAGGCCGTCTCCGGGTTCGTCTTAACGGCCAGCATTTGGGTGGAGCTCACCGAGGCGTTCGTCAGGTCATAGTCGCCCACCTCGGAGGTCACCAGATGCTTCTTCTCGCTGCGCATCGTCTGCCAGAACTTGAGCAGGATCAGGATGTCCTCCAGGAGCTGTTCCCGGCTCTGGTTCGGGCACGTTGGCGGGCCGCAGAAGTAGTCCAGGGCGTTGGAGTAGATGCGCTCCCGCAGGATGTTCCTGGCCAGGGACTTGGGTATGGTGTTGCCCTGGAGCAGCGACAGGCCGCACTGGAGGAGCTTGAAGCGACAGCCCACGGTGGAGACCTGTCGGTTCTGCCTGCTGCTCTTCAGGATGGGCAGGCAACGGTGGAGGAGGAGGCAGAACATCTCCACCTTGTCCCGGTTGCAGTACTTGGCCGTGTCCACCATCTCGGAGAGGAGCTGCAGCCAGATCAGGTGCGGGGTGATCAGGATCGGCTTGCTGACCAGCTTGCAGCCCTCGTAGGCGGCCAGGGGATTGGTGACCTCCGTCTCCCAGGCGAACAGGCCCATCCGCTTCTCGAACGTGGTCTGCCAGGCGCTGACCATCTCCTGGATGAAGCACAGCTCCAGATCCTGTCGCGCCGTCAGCACCCACTGCCAGCACTCCACGGCCGTTTCCATCGCCGATTCGGTGAAGAGCTCCAGCTGCGAGCTGGCCACCGCGTGGAGCAGTTTCCGGTCGATCTCCGAGCAGATAATGAGGTAGGCGGTGGCCCGCCACAGAGCGCCCCGATGTCGGGCGTCACTCTTCTCGGCACACGCCTCCCACACATCGCTGACCAGTCGCTCCGCCAGCCCGGCCTTGTCCTTCTCGCTCAGCACCGACAGCAGGCCGCTGATCTCGCCGGCGTACTTGCTCCGCAGGCACAGCACCGACACGAACCGCGGCGTATCCGAGTTGACGCAACTGGGCCGCTTGCTCAGCGTTCCCGGGTGGAGGGCACTACTGCTCACCACCGAATCGAAGGCCAGCGCCAGGCCGCTGTGATGCGCCAGCACCGGCGTGGGGATCTGGTTGGGATACTCCTGCAGATGCGACCTGGTGGAGCGCGGCGCCCACTTCATCGCCTCGTTCACAATGCCCTGGCAGCGGTCGGCAAAGTCCTTCAGGCGCAGCTCTCGCGCCGGCAGCGAGTCCATCAGCTGTAGGGTGTACGGCGTGGACACCACCCGCAAGGTGGGCGTCTCCTCGTTGGGATCCAGGCTGAGGGAGTAGGCCAGCAGCTGGAGGATGTCGAGCATGCACCAGAGCACGCGGCGATTCCACAACAAGTGCGGGAAGCGATCCACCAAGAAGGACAAGTACTGATCGGCCACCACCTGGATGGGCTTGTGGATGTGGTTGAAGTAGACCAGCAGTAGGGTGGCCTGCGACTCCAGCACCTTCTCGCGTATCTCGTCGTGGGCGTACAGAACGTTCCGGAACTTTTCAAAGACCTGATCGGCAACACTATAAAGGGAACTGGTCAGTGGAACCCACAAGGACTCTGAGAGGATCGGAAAACTCACCACTTGACACACTGCCAGATGCCGGTCTTGTCCCGTTGGAGCGCCGTGTCGCAGAGATAGCTCATGATGGGCTCCAGACTAGGCTCGTCCGCGTTCTCCACGCGCAGCATCTCCAGCCAGTAGACGCTTAGGAGGTAGGTGCACTGGGCGAAGGTCAGCTTGTTTATGGCGGTGGCCACGTTGTCCGTGGAGTGCTCCAGCAGGACGAGGATCTGGCTGCGCAGCTCGTTCACCGAGTCACTTTTGATGGCCAGCGTATAGTTGAGCTCCCGCATGTCCGACTTGTGGGCCGTCTGGGAGATCAGCAGCGGCGACTTGGCTGCGATCTGCTGGACACCCTGGTACCAATCCGCTGGCCACAGGCGGGCATTTGTGAAGCCCATCACCACGCAATAGGCCCAAAAGTCCTGCAAGGCCAAACAAGGTGATAAGAACCCTCAACTAGAAACTCATAGAGGCATTACCTTGAAGAGCTTGTGCAGCCGCTGGCGGGGATTCTTGATCGGTGGGAGGCGGCGCACCAGTACCGCAATCACCGGTATTAGCATGCCCAGATTACCAGCCCGGGAGCTGGCCTTCTGGGCGCCCGGAGTATTGTCGTAGCTGCGCTCGCCATCCAAACCGATCTGTACGAACAGCTCCAGCAGCTTACCCAGCAATTCCAGCATCTCCGAATCCCCCTGTATGTTGGCAGCGATATTGCCCAGGGCATTCACCACCGCATCCGAGACATGATGGAATTGCTTTCGGTGCTCCGGATCGGAGGTGTAGGCCAACGAGGCCGACTGCACGGTGACGCGCGAGAACATCTTCATGATCTCGTCAAAGACATGGGTCTCGCACTGCGAGATGATCATGCAGCCGAGCTGGTCCACGATCAAGGCGTTCTGTTCCGAGGGTACTTTGCAGAAGCGCTGAATGAAGAACTGCAGGATGTTCTGGGTGGTCTTGGAGGTGTCCTTCAGCGCCACAGCCACATGGCCCAGCATCACGATGATGTTCAGGCTGACCAGGTTCGATTCGCTGCGGATTATAGAAGGTTAGCACTGGATCTCTATAGATGGTAGGATTACACTACCTCTCGGACTTTTCAGCCGTAAACAGACGATTGGATACATTGGCCACCAGTGCCGGGACACAGAACTGATCCAGGGTGTGGGCTGCCCTCAGGGCAATCGATAGATTCTCAATGGCGGCATCCCGCAGTGCCTCGAAGGCCGCCTGACCACTTCGGCCCGTCGACGGCAGCTTCTGGTTCTCCCCGAAGATGTCCACCACGGCTCGCGAATCCGAGTGCTGGACCACGATCTTGAATGGGGTCAGCTCCTTCTCCTTCTTCTGCTGGGCGAGCGTTTGCATGGCGTGGGCGTGCAGCTTGCCGAGTATGGGACTGGGATCGACGAGGAAGTCGCGCAGGTACGAGATCGAGGTGCCGGCTATGTTGGGAAACTTCTGGGCCAGCTTGCCCAGTCCCTCCAGGCAGACCATCAGCAGCGGCATGTGATCCATCACGATCTTGTGGCTCAGCACCAGGTTGAGCTTCTGTGACAGTCGTCCGCACAGCTTGTCCGCCTCTGTTTTTGGGGGGATTTGATAGATAGAGTTGGATTAGTTAGTGAGATCTTTTGTGGAGGATCCAGATCGGAGGTGTATCATTCAGCGAACTGGGAACGAACTGGGGGGGAGAGCAGGAGGAATATCTGTTGCAGCATGCAGCGAACGTAGGCCAGGCAAATATAACAATACAATTATAATAATAATAATAATAATAATAATAATAATAATAATAATAATAACCACAAAAATCAAAAGTATTTTTTTTTTTTAGAGAAAGAATCAACCACAGTACTCCAATCTGAAATATTTTTACAATTTTTTTTGAATGTGGTTAACCCTTAGAGGCGACCAATCAAGTGGGTGGAGGGTGTGGGGGGGGGGGATAAGGACGAATTAAAAAATACAACTCTGCTCTTGACCTTTCTTCAATAAAAATTGCAAGCCATTCTGCAGGGATGGCACATTATAGTCGACATCAACTGAACGAACGAACAACGTTCCGGGTTCCGGCCAAAAAAAAAAATAAAATAATTAAAAAAAAACTCAAAACTAAAAACTATAAGAAACTAAATTAAAAATTAAGGAAATAAATCAAGAAAGTGACGATCAAGAAAGAGAAAGAAGGAGGCATATGGTTTTCCATTTGGAGTATCCTTTCCAGTTGGAAGTCCCTCAACTATCCTCCTTCTCTTTCCGATTGGAAAACCCGATCCCCCTTCTCTCTCTTTCTTTATCGGAGCTGCTGCTTTTGCTTTTTGCTTTTGCTTTGCCGTTGTAGTAGCTTTGAGAGATCCGGTGAGGATGTGGTGGTGGCCCAAGGATCAACGCTTACCCGTCTCATCCCGTATGGCCCAAACGAGGAGGTCCACACAGGCCGCATTCGCCATCACGTTGACCTTGTACTTGTTCACCACAGCGATGCCGTTCTCCTCCCGCCGTTCGCGCTCCTGATCCTGCTGCTTGTTCTGCAGCTCCGTCTGCCCGTTGAGGAACAGACGCTTCACAAACTCCTGCACATCCTTGGTGAAGGGCGTGGGCAGGTCCACTTGGTGCTGCAACAGCTCTCGCAGCAGGGTGACCAAGACGAGGTTCAGCGTTTCCGAGAAACTCTTGTAGCAGTAGCCCTTGATCTGGTGCAGCGAGAAGATGTCGCTGGCCTGCTCGTCCAGGTGCTCCAGCGTGTCCTTGGTGAGGAGCTTCTTCGAAACGGCGAATATCGTCTGCAGGTGTTGGATGGGAAACGGCGGCACACGGTACAGGGGACGTGGGCCGCCCTTCGTCGGTGATTCGCAAACACGCATGTTCGGGAACTGGTTGAAGCTGGAGCCGTAGCGGGTGAAGAAATGGGTCCGCGGATCGTACGGCACGGAGAAGTAGCTATGCAGCGAGGGCTTGTGCTTGCTGGGATACCGCAACCTCGGATCATCTACGTTCTGGGCCTGGGCCAGGCTGCCGGACATGGAGCGCGGTATGATCGGTCGAAACTGGTGCGTGGCCAGGCGCTCGCTGCTGCTGAAGGAGCCGCCACAGGTGCCACTGGCACTGCTACTCGACCCAGAACCGTCTCGACTGCTGCCACGTTGGATGGGCAGCAGTTCCGGCGGGAATATGCGGCACAGCAGCGGCGGATCGTTGCCGGCATAGCGGCCCATGGAGCGGGCCAAACCGAAGAGCAGCGGCACCGTCGCCTTGCACAGGATGATCGGCGGTGGAGCCGAGCTGCTGTCCCGACTAGATTTCACAATATTGGCCAGGGCGCCCAACGTCTCCACCTGGTTCAGGATGATCTCCTCGCGGGATTCCGGGCATTTCGCTGCGATATCCGACAGCAGGGTGTTCAGGCAGAAGCTGAACTTCTCCGCCGAGGGAATCCGAACTCCTGAAAGGAAACAGAAAGGGAGTTAAGTGTGAATCGAGTAACTTATAGAGCTACTTACGTTCGATCTTGCTGCTCCGGGCATCATCGATCCAGACCGCCTTGGGCAAACACTTGGCCAGGCGGAGCAGATAGGGCACGATCTGTCCCTCGTGCTGGCAGCCACCTTCCAGGAAGTATATGCCCAGGGCTATCACTGCATCCTGCGCCCTAGTGTCCAGGCAAAAGACTCCGGCCGCATTCTCCTGCGGGCAATATCGGAATAGGGTCTGCACCTGGAGGATCAAGAAATGATGTCAGTTATTCCATGGATGACACATCTGTCCTGGCTTATTTGTGTCTGTTTTCGCAGTTCCCTTTTCGCCACCCCACCGCCGCCACACGCATGTCTGTTTTGTGGTCGCATTTCAAGGTCAGTGTGGGCAGTGAAAAGTCGATTTCCATGGCAATTTCCACCCCGGATATCCGGGATGTCACATGTGGCTTGGCTGTTTACCTTCTCCCATGGTGTGGGCTGTATCCCGGCCAAAACGCGGGCCAGGCAGAGCACCGTCCGCTGGTACGTGTACTTGTCCGAGGCGGTCATCGTCATAGCTCTTCCTCCTCCACTCCTCCACCTCTCCAGGGCTATCCCTCGCCGTTCTCCGCTTCCCAAGCTCTGTCGTTCGATTCGTTTTGGATCGCCGATGCGTTTAATTAATAATACTACCACTTGTTTTTAGCTAGGTGTCGTCATATTCGGGATATTCGAAATAAAAATCGTTTCGCAAATTGGATTTTTTTATTTTGTTGTCGGCCAGTGGGACCGTACTGCATGCAACAGCGATTCGTCAGCCGCAGTGTTACCGTAGATGGTTTCTCTGCCAAATACCAAAGATTTCCGTTACTTTTCGATTTCAAATTAAAACAAGAATTTATATTCACTTAAAATTTTTAATAAAAATAAAATATTTTTTCTGTAATCTATAATTTATATTTATTGAACGAAAAAAGAATTTCTTACTTGAATGCGTTTTATGTAACTTTTATAATTTTTTTTGTAAATTTAAAAATTTTAAAGCTCAACGAAGCTTGGGGGGGCCAAAATGTTTGTAACTAATAGAAATATAAGAATAAATTAAAGGAACAAGAACTCGACCGGCAATAGCAGCACGTCATGCAAGTTGTTAGGATCATCGTCATTGGAGCCTTCAGAGGAAGTGTCTGACATGTCATCATCATCGCACTCCGCCTTGGGTGGCTGGACGGGATTAGGGGCTTTGTTGGCTTGTTTTGGTTGTATCACTTGTGGAGCCTGTGTTTCCATGTCGTCTTTTAAGATTACAATCTTTCCTGCAGGGGACTTGGAGGAGTCTACCGATATAATTGTTTGAGTTGCTTTCTACAAGAGGTGAGGGATTGGTCAGATGGAGATGGACTACTCAGATGGATATACTCACCTGGACTTTCACCTGCATCTTTGCCTGGGCGACGGCAGCAGCCATAGCAGCAGCAGCACCGGAAGTGGAGCAGCCACTGGTCTCAGCTTGAGTTTCCTCTATCTTGGACATCATCTCCAAGTAACCCTGGCGGCCGGATCGGTTCGAGTTGGATAGGATACGGGGTGGTGGCAGATTCGCAATATATAATCCCACCTTGCTGCGGACATGCTCAAATCGGCGCACAGTCTCCTCCGTATGTAGGCTTCGGAAACTGTTTCCGGGAGTCTTCTTTCCTTGATTCTTCTTCTTATCCATTATCCTTCAATAAACAGTCAGGTGATCAGGTGAATATAGTATAGATATATATAGATATAATATAAATATAGTAAAAAATAAAGATTAATTAATTAAAAGAATAGTTACCGACTCAGACCCACAGCAAAAATATATAGTGGTTGTTTGTAATCCCTAAAAATTAAAAGAAAAAATAAAATAAATATAATAACAAAAAAAAAATATTGTACAATTTAATAATTTTGCTCTTACTTATGTACTTCCTACTGGGATTCGAACTGGAGAAGATGTAAGTATTCAAGTCCTACTTGTTTGACATATCCTTTTTGAAAGCCCACTAGATATCCCAGGCTACTATTTTACTATTATAAAACTCCATTAAAAGATCTATATCCTGCTTAATTTTCATACCATCTTTAAAAGTCATTCTGCATCAAAATCCTGATGCAAAATAATTTTCCGATATTTATATTATTATTATTATTATTATTTTCGATATTATTTTCCGATATCGGATTTTGATGCAGAATGACTTTTTTGGAAATGGGGTTTTGGCCCATATGGCCCAGTTGGATGTATATATCTTCCACAATTCTGCTCCGATTCTCAATCGGAATACCTTAAACGATTTCTGGATCGATTTCCCGTCATTCCCGTCAAAATCCTGATGCAAAATATTTTTTCTATTTTTTGTCCATTTTTCCTGATGGGTCCCCTTGGAAATGGGGTTTTGCCCCATATGGTCCAGATGGATGTCTATATCTTCCACAATTCTGCTCCGATTCTCAAGCGGAATACCTTAATCGATTCCTGGATGGATTTCCCGTCATTCTGCATCAAAATCCTGATGCAAAATATTTTTTCGATTTTTTGTCCATTTTTCCTGATGGGTCTCTTGAAAATGGGGTTTTGGCGCATATGGCCCAGTTGGATGTCTATATCTTCCCCAATTCTGCTCCGATTCTCAAGCGGAATACCTTAAACGATTTCTAGATGGATTTTCCGTCATTCTGCATCAAAATCCTGATGCAAAATATTTTTCAGATTTTTTGTCCATTTTTCTTGATGGGATCCCTGGATCTGCATTAAAGCCTCCGAATAAAAGGTTCAATCGATATTTTTCTCCTTTTCCGATGGATTATCTATCCAGGATTAAACCGAATAATGTTTAGATCGAATCTCAGAATAGCTACCCTTGCTTTACTCTCCTTTCAGACATCTATATTATAGATTCTATAAACTCCAAAAGTAGAAGTATACAGATATTCCGGAATAATGACGAAAAAAAAGTTACAAAGGGCGTACATCGCCTTGTTCCTTACCACGGTGGGGATAATGGTGGGCTGCATGGTCCTGATCGGGATCTATTCTGGCTACAAGCACGAGGAGGTCAAGTTCAAGACGATGCTGGCGAGCATGGTGATAGTGCTGCTTTTCCAGTACATCATCGGAGATCCATTGAAGTTCGTAGTCCTCTCCATAGACAGGGCCTTCTGGCCGCGAAAGATTTACTTGCCGAGCCCCATTGGAAAGGACGACGAAGAGGAGTACGACAGGCGGGAGTACCTGAAGATGCGTCTCAACATGGAGAGGCGGAACCTGGTGATAACCTCGCAGTACCGCAACTGGGCCCTCAACGAGCGCTACAAGCTGATTGCCGCCGATTTGCTGATCTACGGACAGTACTTCCTCTGCCTGATGGCCCTGGTGATGGTCACCCGGGACGAGACCCTCTACCACAACACCCGGATCATCAACGACCTGTTCTATTACAACCACACCGATTACTACGGCCTCAAGGAGATCTATCACATGAACCAGTTGTTCGACTTCATCGAAGCCACCTTGGTGGCGGCCTTCAATAAGAACTCCAGCATGGGCTCCAGTTGGGTGCATTCCGAGCAAACGGTGCTCATGGGCGTGATCCGGTTGCGGCAGGTGCGAGTGGTGGATCCGCGTCATGGCTGGGATGCGCCCCGATTCTCGGAGATGTACTACATGCCGGACTGGCAGCTGCCGTACCGGAAACTCCACTATGCCGACAAGTACTGGAGGATCTATGAGCCCTGGATTCCGATTACCGTCAGCTTCGAGTTCATCGATGGGCTGCTCATGAACTTCATGCACCATGGTTTTCTCAACAACTATCCGGAACTCATCGGATATGTCAGCTTGCTGGCCCGGAGTCAGGCGAATAGTATAAAGGTATCCCTGGGAAAGCCTACAAAAGGATTGATCTTTGAGGATTAATCCGTTCTCGTTTTAGGTCCTGGACTACCTCACGGAGTACAACTGGCTTACCCTGAACACCACCGCGGTCTTTATAGACTTCACCCTGTACAACGTGGACGCGAATCTCTTCAGCATCTGCACCCTGCGCGTGGAGAAGACCCCGTTCGGTGGCATTCTGCCCCACGTGGATGTGGAGAGCACGAAGCTGGTGGAGGAGGTGGATCAGATGCCCTACACCGGCCTCATGGCCCTGCTGGTCTACATTGTGGTGCTCATCCAGTTCTCCCAGATGCTGGCCATTAAGCTCTGGTACGAGCCCTATCTCCTGAAGATCATCTGGAACAAGCTGGATCTTGGGATATTCCTGTTGAATCTCCTGGTGGTGGTGCTGGTGGTGCTCCGCGAGGCTCTCGTCAAGGGCATGATGCAGCAGGTGGCCGGGGCCAGTAAGATGGAGTTCATAGACTTCCGGCGGCCCTCGAGGATGCATCAGTTGACGACGATAACGGTGGGATTCCTGATCTGCATCACGACGCTGCGACTGTGGCGGGTGTTGCAGTTCTCCAGTGTGTTCCAGCTCTTCACCCAGACCCTGTACCTGGCCTGGTCCGCCGTGGCCAGCACCTTCATGGTGATAGTGGTCTTCCTCATCGGATACTGCTTCGCCGTGGTCACCATCAATGGTAACAATAGCGGTAACTTTCACAGCTTCATCAAGAGCCTGGTGATGTGCATGTGCTTCACGTTCGGATTCAGCAGCCAGGTGAAGCCATCGGAGCTCTTCTACGGCGGCGAGGTTCTCGGCATCGTCCTGTACGGCATCCTGGCCTTCGTCATCGCCGTCCTCCTCATCAACGTCTTCGTGTCCCTCATCAACGACTACTTCAGCACGGCCAAGGCGATGCGGGACTCGGGCGAGAAGGAGCAGTGCATCAACTTCATACAGTTCCTCCATGTGGAGTTTCCCCGCATGTTCACCATCCTCCAGAATCTGCCCTTTTTCCGGAAGCACTACGTCCGCAACAACCGCACCGTCTCCGAGAATATCCGACGTAAGCTGGACGAAATGGACCGGAAACGATACATGGCTGCCAGGCAGCGTTCTGGATTCAGTATCGTGGAAAAGGAGCCGATCTTCCTGCAGAAAACCAAGTACATGGACAAGGGTGAGAAGATGATCAAAATGGGAAAGATTCTCAACGTCCAGCTGGAGCTGCTGGCCTTGTTGCTATTCGATAATGATGGGAAGGAGAACAAGAGTAAGGCAGAGAAGCATCCTCCACCCAAGGAAGATGATGACCAGCCCCAGGGGCCGGATCTTCGAAAGCGTCGTAATATCTTCAACTGGAGGAGGCAACGCAAGGAAAGGGATGAGGTCGACGTGTAGGTTTAGATTTCAATTAAAATTTTACGGTTAATGTTATGTTTTTAATAAAATCTTAGCAAATTTTTAATCAAATCTTAAAATAGGATATTTTTTTACACAATCTGAGGGGTTCTGATTACTTTTAAATATTCCCAAAGGTTCCATTAGTGTGTGGGGGTTATCTTATCCTACAAACTGGTGATTATAAGACTTTCAACTTCATTTTCAAACTTTATAAAATTTATGTGTTCAGTATTTATATTTAAAATATAAAAATAATGTCATAATGCCTTAAAAAGCGTAAATTTCTTATAGAAGAAAGCCCTGCTCTCAAGAAAGCCCTGCTTATATCTCCTTTTTTTAAAGCTCCTTCTCCTGTATAGTATGGGACTATGGCTATATACGTGGATATATATAACCGAAATACTTCAGATGGCAGCCGGAATAACTAACCTACGCCTCCTACGAATATCTGTATCTGGAATATAACCTATTTAGTCTTTGGCTCAAGCGTCACATGGGCGGTGGACTGAATCGGCTGTCTTCGGTGGTAATATATGATCCTGATCCGGATCATCTTAGCTAGATTCTACTTGTCAATGATCTGCGGTGGTCTTCTTTTTCGGGTGACGACGCCGCAGTGAGTCCTGATCCTTGGACTTTTCGGTATCGGACTTGGCCACCAGCAGATCATCGGCATCGGAATCGGCCAGAGGATCGACATGACCACCGCTCACGTCAACGATATCGGACTTGTCAGCGTCCGAGGCATAGGCAGACACCACGCCCAGATCGTCCAGGTCGTCGTGCAGGCTGCTGCTACTGCTGCTGCTCTTGATCTTCCTGCGACGGCCGGTGAGGATCACGCTGCCGGCGGCAGCGGTGGCGGAGGAGTGCAGCGTGTCCGTGAGCCGGTTGTACTTGATTTGCAGGCTGTGCAGCCAGCTGGCGTCGGACCAGTGGTACCAGCTGAGCAGAAAGATGACCAGTATAAAGAACAGATTGGTGCTAATGGCTGGAAGATGGAAAAAGGATTAGCAGTTCTCCAGGCGGTCGCTCTCGTCACCAACATACCCACTATGGCCGACAGGACGGGCCAGTTGAACATAATGTATCGCAAACCGGTAAAATCGGCCACTATATGCAGGGTCACCGTATAGAACTGGATCTTCTGTGACTGGATCTCCACATAGACATCCGTAATCGGGTGCTGGCGCTCCTCCAGATATCTCGAAAATATCTCCACCGGCACCTGCTGGAATTCCTCCTTCCATCCAAGCACATACAGTGGACTCAGGGCCCACGTAGAGATCATCCTGATAAGGGGGGAGCGGTAGCGCATCATGGCCGAGCGGCAGGAGTGACCACGCAGCATGGAGTCATAGTCACGCATCTCGGCACAGACCATGAACATGCCCAACTCCAGGTTCTGGGGCGATTCTGGCATATCAATGTTGACGATAACCTTGTAGGCCTGACCCACCATCAGCAGCTGTTGCTTCTTGGTCAGCGAAACATGGGCATGGGGAAAGGTACAGGGTGTACTGGTCTCCAAACAAGTTCTACAAGAGATTACAAGGATTTCAAAGGAGCTATAGGGATACCTTTTAGAGGATACTCACTTGAACTGCATGTGAACTGGACGGGTGTGGGAAATAGCCGGCATGTAGACATAGTAGAAGGCGGCATACATAAACACCGCCAGCCAGATGATGAGCACCACTGCAAAGGCGATGAGTCCCAGCCGGAGCACCAGCTCCCTTACAGTGCCCACCTTTTCGTCCGCCTTGCTACGCACTCGGTCGTACACGTTCCAGGCCAGATTGAGGCCCGGCCGGATGAAGAATCTCCTGGCCAGGCCCAGGGGATCCATGCAGAAGATTATGAAGCGCAGCAGAAAGTTCATGGCGTCGATGAAATGCAACTGAAATCGCCAATGGCAATTAAATAGGCTTGTTGCTGTAGGTTTTTTTGGTGCGATTGCCACTGCCGGTATCAACTGATTGCTTATCGATTCCTTATCCGACAATTGGAGTCCAACTACCACTGCCAGCTATCCGCACTGCTCTCCTTGCCGGCTATTTGATGCTCCCCCTATCGACTGTGGTGGGGCTGATTCATTAACGTTATATAGAGCGGATCCGTCCAGACGTTGTACCGGCTCAAAGGTCAGCCCCGAAATGATATTGCCGGGCAGTTTAATCGACTTGTTTAGAGCTTGTCGCTTCTGGATGATAGCGGAAGAATTGGACACTGGCCAGCAAACTAATGGGGATCTTCTGATGGAGATAGTGGAGATCCTCAGGGGTGGATCAGTAATAAATGGTCAGAAAATAAAGAAATATCTAAAGACAATTATTTTTTATATATTTAAGATTTATTAATTAAATACTTGAATTAAGAATAACATATATTTAATAATTTTGTCGCTATTTAAAGCTTATTTTTAAAAAGCTTGTAGTTCAGTGTTGAGTTCCCCCCAAAATCAGATAGTCTTAGAAAAACCCCGACGATTTCGTCGGCTGGTCACACTGCGATTTTCATTTTCCAACACTAGACCGTAAATATTTACACATTTTATCTTTGTTTCGTGAAATTTAAAAGTTGTCAAGTCAAAGCCTGCTTTCTCACTTAAAAAATCAAATCTAAAAACTTGAAACTTAAACTTTAAGTAAAGTACAACAACAACAACAACAAGACCAAGAAGCCATCCTGAAACTGACCAAAGGATTCCAGCCGGAGATGAGTAACTACAGGTATCAAGGAGGAGGCGGTAGCGGCGTCGTGATAGGAAGCCGTGGCTATAGCGGAATAGAACTGCACGAGATGCATCCTCTCCATAACTTCACATACGTGAGCGTCTGTGTCAAGTACATGATCTTCCTGCTGAACTTCATCTTCTGGCTCTTCGGCGGATTACTCCTGGGTATCGGCGTGTATGCGTTTAAGGACAAGTGGGAGGAAGCCAACGGCTGGGTACGTTTGGAGACCATCTATGATGTCATCTTTAACATTTCCCTGGTGATGATTATAACCGGAATCGTCATCTTCGTGGTGAGCCTGTCCGGCTGTTTGGGTGCACTGAGGGAGAACACCTGACTATTAAAGTTTTACTCATTCTGTTTGCTGCTCTTCTTCCTCATGGAAATGGCCATCGGTGAGTCACTGGCGTTATTCATTTTCTTACCCATTTACTCTTCAACTTTCTCTTTCGTTCATCTCGCATCTGTCCAGCCATCATCTGCTTTGTGTTTCCGCAATACATGAACACCTTCCTGGAGAAAAAGTTTGCCGACAAGATCATCCACTCGTATCGTGACGATCCAGATTTGCAGAACTTTATCGACTTTGCCCAACAGGAGTTCAAGTGCTGCGGCCTGAGCAATGCTGGCTACCAAGACTGGAGCAAGAATGAGTATTTCAACTGCTCGTCGCCGTCGGTGGAGAAGTGCGGTGTGCCCTACAGTTGCTGCATCAATGCCACCGACATCTCATCGGGCCTGGTGAACATCATGTGTGGCTATGGCGTCCAGGAGGCACCCGTTCCGGAGGCAAGGAAACGCATCTGGACCAGTGGCTGCATTGAGATTGTACGCGTCTGGGCCGAAAGAAATCTGTACTTAATTGCCGCTGTTGCTCTGGGAATCGCCCTCGTCCAGCTGCTGGTCATTTACTTGGCCAAGACCCTGGAGGGCCAGATTGAGCTCCAAAAACTGCGGTGGTCGGCGTGAGATCCGAGCCAGGCCGAATTCTTTGGGCCATACGATCGAACCTGATAGATTCTCATTAAGAATCTCTAGATGCTCACTTGACAGAAGACTGTCTTGAATTACTTACACCTTTATAAAGCTTTTCACTTAATCATTGTTCTTTTTAAGAAAGTGAGCATCTTAAATACTTTTTTCAAAACTTTGCTTGTTTTGTTATTAATAAGTCTTAGTTATTATGTTGTATAAGATTTTTGTTTCAAGATTACCAATATTTATATAAACGCACATACATAGACATGCTCATCTGACTGCCAAAATAATATATTTGGCTAGCTGCAAATATCTTATAAACCTCTAAATGTTATATACTCTATACATATTATATATACAATGTATCAAATAGGGCATATACTCAGACAGTGTATCATGAATCTGACTGCCTTCAGTCCAATGGTCCAAGTCCTGGTCCAAGAACCAGATTTCAAAATTCGTTTAGCGGATTTGAAGCATTTATTTAGGCATTTCTAGTGAAGGATGTAGAAATACAAGAGAATGAATAACCACAAATTTTAAATATTATTGAATGTATCTTGAGAACCCAACAAATATTTAGATTTTGTAATAAAAAATAAAAGACATACAAGGTGTGTTCAGAAAATATAATGAGTGCATTTTTTATTTATTTTTGGTTTGGGATAAATACACCAAATTCGGGATAAGTTTTCTAATAATAAAAGAGAATGAATAACTAAAATTTTTAAATGTTATTGACTGTATCTTGAGAACCCAAAAAATATTTAGATTTAAAAATTTGTAAAAAAAAATTAAAGACATGGAAGACTTTTTCGGAGAATGACTTTGCATAAAAGTGAAAAATGAGAGTGACTTGGCATTTTTGGAAGGACATTTTTGGACATGGAAGATTTTTTCGGAGAATGACTTAGCAGAAAAGTGAAAAATGAGAGTGACTTGGCATTTTTTATTTATTTTTTGGCAATACTAGATGAAAATCCTTTAATGCTGGGTCGGGATAAGTGCACCAACATAATCTCTAATCGAATGCACGTTGCCCGCGAAATTTGAAAAGCCACCTGACTTTCTAAGAATATTTCCTGTTTATACCTATTACTGTTCATTAAAAAGTTAAAGTTAATTTCTGAATTCAATCTTAGTTCATTTCTAAATAGAAATCCACTGAAGTAAGCCAAAATAAATGTATTTTAAATTTTAATAAAAAAACAAAAACTATCGATAAATAATCGAACATAGTAGGCCAAGTCAGAGAAATGTCAGAGTGAACATCTCTAAGCGGCACGCTGCTAGAACAACGTGCTTCATTTGATTCGAGTCGGGGCACACGTTCGCATCGAAGAGAAAAAAAAAAAGCTGAAAAAAAAGAAAAATTAACTGAAAAATAAATATTAACTGAATAGTTTTATTTTAATTGTGACTTAAACAAAATATCAATATGAAGGTTAAAGTAAACCTTGGCGATGACCAAGAAAACACAAAAGGTAAGCCAGATCGTAAACGTCCAAAATCCGGGAAATCCCTAAGCGATGTTGAATCGGAGACGCCGTCGAAGATTGGCAAACTCTCTGGCGAGGACCTACCGTCAGATGAGAAGGAGAATACACCCACCAACCCCATGAAGCTATCAGACATCAACAAAGCGGTGTTCGGTGTCTTCAAGAAGATGCAGAAGACTCCATTGTCGCAAAAGATTATCAATTCTTTGATCGTTTTGTTGCGCGATGATACAAATATACCGCAGCGTACTGCTACTTGTGCCTATGTGCTCAAGCGCTTCGTTCGATCCACGGGCGCCGATGATATCCAGGCGGTGTCTCTGGCCGCCAGTTATATTCATTGCATTTTGAGTTCCGTGCCCGGAATCGATGCTTTGGAAGTCCTTGCCACCATGAGGAAAGATCTGGCTGTGGGTAGTCAGCAAAAAGGCAAGGAGGACACACTGGCGGCCGTGGGACAGATGGTCACGGCTTATTCCATTTTGCAAACGCCGCAGTTTGTAGAAGAGCCAGATCCCAAGTTGGTGGCTGCTGTTTACGAGATTCTGGTGTCCCAGCTGAAGGGCCGTGAGTATTTGGTGCTTATGTGCTCCGACATAATAGCAGATTCGTTCAAAACGGTGAGTTTCAAGTTTTTTTCATATTTTTTTTTGTCAAATATTTGAAAAAGTTGCTTCGTCATCCAGCTTCCTGACAAACTTTTCATGGAGCATGTCTGGCCCTTGCTCCAGAGACCCTTGAACAAGCCTCTCAGTGGTCTCAAGGTTAATACCTGTGATATTTTGCTGTCCGTACACCTGGAATACCCATCGATTCTGGTACGCGAACAACTCCTCGTTAGTCTCTGGACCAATGAGCCTCAATATGCAGAGCTCTTCGAACTCTATATCGCCGGCTCCACTATCCACAGTGATGGTGTCTACTCGCGCTTGGCCAGATTCATAGCATCCGGCGGGCAGGAGGTGCTCTCCGCTTGGCAGCAGTTTGTGGATGCCAAGCAGCCGATTAAGTTCAACTCTGCCAAGGCCTGTATCATACAGGTTCTGGGCCACATCATCCTAAACTATGACAACGAGGACGAGCAACCAATTCTGGATCTGTTCACTCCGACCACAATTCAGTTTCTGATCCAGGAGCTATCTAGTGTCAAGTCGGACAAAAGTCATGTGAAGAAACCGTCGCAACAGGAACTACGCGATATTGTCCTGAAGTTCGAGGGAATTCTTCTGATTGCATTCGAGCAGCACCTGAAAAAGGAAGAGACAAAGCTGCAGTTGCTCCAGAAATTCCTGGCCGAGAAGATCCAATTGGACTGGGTGATTAGCTTGCCTCGTTTCAGTCACCAAGTCATTGCCTGTCTGGGCGTCGAGAGCCTTAAGACTCTGTTCGAGTTCTATCAGACGAAACTTACCAATTTGAGTGACGAGGACAAGTCGATCGGAACTCATTGTCTCAATCAGTTGCACTTCATACTCCAGAACAGTGAGCTGGCCGAAAAGGAGAGCAAGTGGCGCAACAAACAGCTGCGTCAATTGATGGTAGCCGCTCTGTTTCATTTAGACGGCAGCCTGGAGCCGTGCTTGGCCAGCGAGGCCAGCCTCTTTAGCCGCCAGTGCTCGGCGCGCTGCGAGGAGATCTTCTTGAACTGCTTGCTCCACAAGTGCCCGGGTCTGCCGGCACTGGTCCAGTTACTCCGCAAGAACTTTGTCTACCTGAACAAGCAGCTGGCGAAGGACAACGCCGAGAACAAGTTGCTCCATCCGCGTGATAAGGCTCTCCTGAAGGCCTGGCCGGAGGTGGAGAAGCTGCTGAAAGAGCCCAGTGACGAATCTGACGATGTGGCCCAGAGCTTCGAGGCTTTAATCTATTTTGTAGCCATAGCATTATGCACTAAAAGCACTTTGCCATTCATCGTGTTGGATGATCTGATCATCTGCCGCAAGAACGCCTTGGGTAAAGTCGAGGAAAAGGTTAGTATCGATGCTATTGGTTAGTATTTTCAGCTAATCTCTCTTACCTTATTCCCATTTAAGCCTGATTCGCCCGATGATGCGTCCGAAGATAAGCCCGAGTGGCAGGATGTCCTTACTGATGCCCTTTTGCAGATGCTCCTGCAAACTGGCCACTTCTGGCGCGAGTTCGTCAACTTGATTGTCTCCTCTGTGATTCCTCAGCTAAGGAATAACAACCTGGAGCAGATCTTAGAAGTTCTTAACATGAACAAAAATCCTCTCTCCAAGAATGATGAAGACGACGACAGCTATGATGAAGAAAGCGACGACGAGAATTCTAGCTCGGAAGATGAAGATGGAGAGGATCAGGAAGCAGATGATAAGGATAGCGATGAAGATGGTGACGAGACCTACTTGGCTCAAATCCGTGAGAGCGTGCGTCTAGCTCTTGAGGGTGACGGCCAAGTCGACGATGACGGCAGCAGCGTTGATTGGAATGATGTAGACGAGGCCCAAGGCCAGCGCCTGAATGCCGCTCTGGAACGCTCCTTCCAGCTTTACAAACCCAAATCCGCCAAGGCCCAGGCCAAGCAGGGGCCCACCAAATCCGAACGCATCGATATCACCAGTCTTATGCACTTCCGTATCCGTGCTTTGGACTTGCTTGATCTTTTCACCACCCACAAACCGACACAGGGTGTGATCCTGGATGTACTGCTTTGCGCTTTCCAGGTGTTCCGCTACAGCGTCCTCCATTCGAAGCACCAGCCAATACAAGAAGCCAGCTTGAAGTTATTGAAGAAAGTGCTGGCAAAGAATATTAATTTTGAATCGAATCCCGACAAGTCACCAATTCTGGAGGCCATTGAGCAGCTGCTGACCACCGGCGAGAAGACAGATGACGATGACAACGAGAAGAACAAGCAGCAGACCAGCCGCAAATCCAAGGCTGAGATCACCGCCTGGCGCGATAAGTGCTTCGCCTATTTGGTCAATCAGGGATCTATGAATGAAGACCCCAAGAAGAGCGCTGTGTGGCCGCAGCTAGTGAAGCTATTGGATCTGTGGGTGGCCAACCGCAACACCATCCTGTCCCTGGGCAGTTTCGAGGCTCTGTTCCAAGCTGGGCAATGGGCTGGCGTAGCACCGCTGGCAGTGCTTCTAGTATCCCACTTGGATCTAGACAAAACCCGTAGTCTGCGTCGCGCACAGATTCTCAAGCTTTTCGCCGGACAATTCCGTCGTCTGGAGGGGGCCCTCCAGGATGAGGGTTCCGACGATGCCAAAGAATTCGAGCAGCACTTGGTCCGATATGTCACTCAGCTGGAGGAGTCGGACAAGTACAGTGCCAAAGAGTTGGAGCTACTCCAAAAGATTCTGACCCAGGGGGGCGAAAAGCGTGCTCAGCTCCTGGAGAAGATCAAGATCGTGGCCCAGAAGCCTCCAAAAAATGCGAATGAAGAGGAAGAGGATGGTGACGAAGAGCCGGAGGAGGTAGAAGAAATGGATGTCGATGAGGAGGGAGAGGAACCCGAAAAGAAGAAGTCGAAGAAAACTAAGAAGGCCACTTTAGTGGTGGAAGGAGAGTTAGATATTGAGGCCTATGAGCAGCTGAAGAAGATGTCTGGAAAAGAGAAAAGGAAGCTGGAGAAGGACTTAACAAAGCAGTTGAAGAAGGCCCAAAAAGCAGTCATATTACAGGCTCAAGAAGAAGAAGATGAAGACGACGAGGTGGGCCTAGATGGGCAGAATCAGATGGAGGAGGATGAGAGCGAGAACGAGGCCGAGGAGGATCAGGCGGAGGAGGATGAGGAGAATGATGATAATGAGGTAGAGGAGGAAGGCGAGGAGGAGGAAGAGGTGGACGAGGACTTAGAAGAAGAGGAGGAAGTGGAGGATGAAGAGAGCGAGGAGGAAGATAATAATTAGAAAGAGGACCTGAAAAAATCATACGATTTACCACCATACTTCTATTAATTAATTTTAATTGTATATCATAAGCTGTTAGATAGCTCGTAGATAATTAAAATATCTATAGCGATGTAATCAAAACAAAATAAAACTGTTACGACAAATGGTCGGTCCCAAGATCATAAACCAAAAACGAGTTTAGAGTTTAGATTTAGGTGAATTGCACTAATCCCCCGTCGTCTGAATCCTTGGCGGCAAGTAAAAGTTCTGCACCAAGCATATGTTGGTGCTAAGGAGCATCTTTTCGTTGTTATCGCCACGTTTTTTGTCCACTTCATCGGTGACGATTGTCAGAATGTCTACAAAGTGCTTGCTAAAGATAACTTAATATTAATATATTTTATTAAAATGGAATTCAAATGGAAACTCACCTGTCGGAATGTTGAACGAGAGCCTCGCACAGGCACTGGATGAACCAGCTGCCCGTATGGGTATGCCGCAGAGCTGGAAATCCTGATACAGGCATCACTCGCACCATATGCTTCCGCTGGCCCGGTTCACTGGTGGTGGCATCTAACTTGAACTAAAGAATGGTTAGGGATAAGTTTCAGAGGTAATGGTCAGAGGTAAACACATCCAACTTACCGGCAATCCTTGCTGTCTTCGATTATTGTCCTGGCACGCCTGGATTATCAGCAGCTTGTGCTTGTCGTACACGTTCGCCTCGCTGCACAGGACATTCTCGATTTCTGGAATGCTCAGGGCAATGCTATTCGCTCCATAGACAGCTCCCTCGAAGCCGTGACTTAAGATACACACCACTATCGAATCGTTGAGCAGGGATCTCCTTGTAGCATTGCGCATTAGATGTACCATTTCCATGTGATCGATGTTGTGGTGCGACTCCACCTTGTAGCCCATTGCGGAGAAGACCTTGTTCAGAGACTGCTCGTCCACATCCGTGCCCAGTCGTGGCGCCAGTGGTTTGGGAGATAGGTATTTCTGCAGCGAATAAAATATAAATGGGGGATAGATTCTTCTACAGACCTACTTACCTTAAGATTATCGTCAACATTTCGGTGGAATTCCCTCTGGTTGATGATCAGACAGATGCCGGCGCTATCCCGGCTCAGCTGAACACCGTTTCGTGGCACTGAAGTATATGTGGATGCGTAATCTCTGTGGCTGTCGGTCAGGGTTTCCCGCTTTACGGTTATCGGTGGTGGACTGGCGGTCCGAGGGGGTGCAGGCTCATCCCTGGCATTGCTGTTGATCGTGTCTATCAGGAGTTTGGCCTGCTCCTGCAGATCATTGAACTTGAGGTGCTCGATCAGCAGCTGGACATCGCTTCCGTTGGTATTGATGTCGCCCAACTTGATCGATTTCCTCGTCAGCCAGTCCAGCATATATATTTCCAGGTAAGCGGGATCATTGAAGTGCATTGGATCGCCAGAGCCCTTCTGCTGGCGCGCCACCTTCTCGCCCACGTCCAGGACTAGTCGTCCGCTCTGCACCAGCGTCATTTGTTCGCAAATCGTGTAGAGACTCTTCAGTAGCGGGTGTATGTGCAGGGTCAGTCCACCGATGTGGGGCAGATAGTGCAGACGGAGCTCCGACCAGCGGAGGCCCAAACGGCGGAGTACCTGCCGGGCACCGATAATGCACAGCCCCTCCACGAGATGTCTCCGCCAGGTATCTGGGCGGGATTTTGCATATTGCAGGACTAGATCAGTTGGCTGCCAAGCTACTGGAGCCAAAGCCAACAGCTTTTGTAGAATGTACGTGGCGCTCGAGTGCTCATCACCGTATAGAAGGAAACAAAGACTGATCTGGAATAAACACATAAATAAATGAATCATGGATTCTTGGAAGAACTAAGAGTACTACCTTTTGGGCAAAGTTGAGATCTCTTTCCACAAACAGAAGATCGCTGGTATCGATGCTGTCTATTTGATTTAAAAGGTTCGATCCGGCCATCTCTTTAATTGCGGGGAAGCACAAAAGTTGAAATAAAGATCAATTCTCCCTCCACAACGGCAACAGCTGCGATACTTGTTGCTACATTAGTGATGGATCGCAACAGCTGACTGTTATCGCGATCGATAACAGTCTAACTAGAGAAGAGGCACCAGAGAGGAAAGCTTACTTAGGGGGGAGCCAAAAAAAATATTAAAAAAAAAAAATATTAAAAAAAAAAAAAAAAAAAAAATATTAAAAAAAAAAATTCCAAAAAAAATTACAACAAAAAAATTACAAAAAAAATTACAACAAAAAAAATTACAACAACAAAAAATTACAACAACCAAAAACTACAACAACAAAAACTACAACAACAACTAAAACAACAACCACTACAACAACTATAACTTACAACAACAAAAAAAGCTAAAAACAACATTATTTCCAAGAAATAAACACTATTTTCCCGATTTTTGGGGCCTGCTTAAGTGCAACCTATGAGAATCGAGGAGGAGGGCGCTGTTTTTTAATTAATTATTTTTAATATTTTTTTATTATTTTTTTTTTTTTATTAAATAGCTACCAAACTAAAGCCTCTTTTGGAATGTTATCATACGCAATATAACGGTAAAATTGTACTCTTTATTTCTATTGGACTTCCAGGCGCCCTTAAAAGTAGGCAATGGAAATATGAGTGTTTACATTTTCATAATTTTTAATAAAAATCAACATGTTTTCCTTTACAAATTAAATAAGATTTAAATAGTTTAACACTCTTTGTAAGGATATATATCCTGGCAACTATATATCGGTCTATATAGTACAGTTATTTAACAGATAAATTATAGCCAATATAGGAAAATAATAATCCAATTGGAATTTCCGTTAAATTGGAATTACTATTGGACGTTCACACTATTCTTTGGGGCGAGCATTTTCGTGGTGTGACCGTGTAGCGTTGGCGCCTTAAAACCCACAAAAGGGGAGCCTTTGATGTCATTCGTTGACAGTTTTTGGGGGGCCTCCGACAACACTGCCTCAGTTCACCTTAGTAACTTACATATTCCGGTTTTGATTTAATTTAGAATCGTCCGAGCTGCTGTGCTGTTGACAAAAAAATAATAGAAACACATTTTTACACACATATTTTTTTTATTCAACAATTGCACACACACACTCTTACTAAAAACAATACGCATTATCACATAACAAGTGCATACGGGTGTGTACTGTGGTGTAATTTTGTTATTGTGCTGTGGCTGTTGTAATTTGTTGCTGTTTTTTTGGGATCCAAAACCGAAGCCGCCCCCCGCAAGGAATAAATCGTGGGGGAAGACCAACAAGTGCGCTCTCTCACACACACACACACACACAGATACCTATTAAGGCGCGCGGGCTGGCAGCAATTGAAAGTGCATTGTGAAAATAGATTCGACACAAATTTTCAGTTTTTTGTAAAAAATTCTGTTTGTTAATTTCTGTGTGGGAGAGCCGACACCGAGAGAGGAGCATCACAGCCAGGAGGAGAATCATGACCGACCTCAACGAGCTAATGGGATCGCCGTTTGTGCGTGTGAAGGTAAGAAAGCAGTTTCTGGATATCCCCAGCATCCCCAAAAACGGGTACTCCCCTGTCCAAAATTCAAAAGAATATCCCAAATTATGGGCGTAGTTGACAAAATTTGGTGACCCCCAGGGGAGAATTGTAGACCTTCAGATAGCTAGTCATCGTTGTATGGTTGTGGCTTTAATACCGCTATTAAATGTATTTTTAACTTTAATTTTTAATAATTAGAAGTTAAAGAGGGGTTTTTATCTACAATGCATTGTTATAACAAGGATTTAGTAATATTTTTAATCTTTTATTTAAAAAGATAAGCTTGAAATTCGATAAAGCAGTGTTTCGTTTCGAGAAAGCAGTCTATTTTTCGATAAAGCAGTCTTAGTATCCTTTTTTTTAGGATTTTTAGAAATAACACTTAAAACCAGGCCTATTATAGATTATGGAAAGTAAAATATGACTCTCTCCCTCTTAAACCCATTCACTCTCACTTGTTGGGCCTCCTCCCTGGGTTAATGGCCACAGCAATGGATGGATGGGTGGGTTGGCTGATTAGCGTACCAAGTTAACCACAAAAACGACAACCGATACCGATTCCGATTCCGAGACCGGACGAGGGCGAGGGCGAGGGCGAGGGCGAGGGCGAGGGCCTGCAATTTGCAACTTCTCTGGTTGGGCTAAGGAGGCCGTATCGTGGGGCTTCACTTGGCACTAAACCGCTTATACTGATCGGTTTCTACTCAATACTTACAACACCCATGCTAACTGCTAACCAAATGCATTTTCTCTCCATATATATAGCTGGTGGCCTTTGTCCACTTCTTCTTCATGTCGAATGCCATGCTGGGAAGATGGGACCAGGGGGCGTATGTGTTCTACAACTTCCTCTTCATGATCGCCATGTTCTGGACCATGCACAGCAAGGACTCCATCGAGGCAGTTCAAACGGTGAGTCGATGAGAGAGTATTTTGTATGAAATATATTCTAGAATTTCTGAAATATTTCTTTGGAATTGTTATCGGAGGCTATTATTCATGCATTTTGTGGTGAAACCCAGTCCCTTTTATTCTGATAACAATATATAGGGGCTTGTATATATATATATGAGTATATATATCCAATTAATTGAAGTATGCATATTATTTCGACTAGCACTTCCTTCTGTTTTGTTAAGCGGTTTTTTTTTAATCAAATTCCAGACACTGTCACCCTGATATCGCCTCAAAACATATATATTTTTGTTAAAAAATAAACTAAAAACCGGTTTGCTTAAAAATCCATCCGACAATCTGTAATTAGCATACTCATGCAAAATATAAATAAAAATAAAAAATAGTTTCTGCATCTGTGAGGCTATTTGAAATCATGATAGAAAACTTTGATGAATGCATTGATTGATTGGGATTGAGCTTGAATGATTAATCCACTTTGTCATTCAATCACAGACCTATAGAACCTCTAAAAAATAAATGCTTTTTATTGATTTAAAAAGAATGCAGGGGTTTTTAGCTTAATAATTAAAATAAAATTATAGAACAAAGAATACTGAATACCAAATACTGTGATTCGTCGGTATCTGGGTTTTAACCGATAAGATAAGGCTTAATCTAATATAATAGGATTTTCTTTGGAGATTTTCTGGAGATTCTCCAGAGACTCCCTAGCTTGTGGCCAATCAATTTGTTAACTAAACCATAACAGGTTCCATGCCCCCTCCCCCATCTTCGCGACCGCCCACACTAGTTATGACCATTCCCCGTCTTAACCCGTCAAGTGGCTTGGCCAAAAAAAAAATAAAAAAATAATAAAAAAGCGGAAACCAAATTCGAACACCGCGTGGTGTGGTATGCTAATGAAAGTGGTGGCTTTTTGGTAATGCACTGAGAGAAAATCTAAAAACATATAATAAAAATAATAATTAAAAAGGAAATCTAAAAAAAAAAACGTATATATTTATCCAATAATTAAAATATATATAGATTTTTAATTATCTCTATTAATTTCTCTCAGTGCTTTCTTATTATTTATATAAATATTTTCACATACTTGGCCATATTGGTTGGATTGCGTGTACCGTTAGGGGTATGCTTGTATTAATAGATGATTTACTTGGTAAAAGCTCCCTCAACTTTGACCTTAGACCCGTCCAAAAAAACTGACCACGCCCCACCTGCCCTGAAACACTTCAACACTCTCCCCCCTCAACACCCCCTCAAACTATGCCCATTTTTTTACACCTTTCGGTATTAGCCCCCAAAGGCTTTTTATTTGAAGGAAAAGTAGCACGCGATTGCCATTTTGGGTCAGAGGCCCCGGGAGCTATATAAATCGGGAGCATTACAATTCCATTTACGAGGCAGCCTCGTCGGTCACTCACACGATAAATTGTTGGTCTACCTAGCTATAGCTTTTAGTTTTTTTTTTTTATTTTATTTTTTTTTGGCTTTTTGTTTGCTTCCTTGGAAAACCATTAGCAACGCCTTTTAATCAACTGGACGACGAGCTAAATCCTGTAGAGAATTAAATCAATAAAAATAATTTATTTAATTTTAAATTGTTGTTTTATAATCACTTCCACCAAGAAGTTCCATCAAGAATTTAAAAAGTTGGATAACTGTGGGGTTTTCTTTTCGTTCTACTTTCCTGGGAACTTTCAAATATGTCATCGTTTTGAGTTTATTTTATTAATTATTAAAAGCTCTCAAAACAAGTGGCTGGAAGTATTATTATTATTATTTTTGTAATGCCAGTCAGCTGGTTAAACAGAAAAATGGGAACACAAAACCAATAATTGCAGGCCAGTTGTTTGGATTATCTGCAAAAAGGTGTTTTATAATAATTTATCAGAGGATGGATTAATTTCCAAAGAATTATAAATAGAACATCTGCTGACTGGCTACTTTATTTTATTTTTTTTTTTAAGCTAAATTTTAAAAATAAGAAAATGCAATTGTTTTTCTTTGCTTATCAAGCCCAAAAGTAGGCTATAGTCTTAAGATATGAATATCAAGTTAATATATTATAATCCTTCCCTCTATGAAAGTAGGCTAAATTCTACTTTAGGCTATAGGCTATAGTCTTAAGATATAAATATCAAGTATATATATTATAATCCTTCCCTCCTCATTTCCCCGGCAACTCATTTTCCATCTATAATATCTTTTCAGGCGCTCGTCATCAACGCTTCTAGTATATTCTTTGATATAGTCAGCATTGTTATTTCTTTTAAATTCATGAGTAAGTAGTCCAGATCATCCATTCATTTCAAACTAAATACTATTTAAATTCTTTAATTAACTTGTAATATTAATAATATATTTTTAGATGGCTGGGCCGTGGCGTTTAGCATTATTAACCTGATCCTGAGGCCAGTGAGCGTGGCCCTGCTCTACCGGGAGTTCAATACACGGGGCGGCAGCCTCCAAACGGGTTCGGTCTTCCCCACCAGCCAGCAGCGCAGCTACCAGGACATCGACCGGCCCACCCAGCCCACACCCACTAACTCCCAACCGGGACCGAATGTGGCTAGCATTTTCTAGGCCACCCAGCCACCCCACCTCTGCGATGCCTACACCCCCCATCACACCTATTCTTCAAAAATGATATAATGATGGGCGACACAACCCTTCCAAGTACCTACATATACATATATATATTGAAGACAAGACTCCCCTAGTCAGACGGATGGAAAAGACCCCTCGATCTTTTATCAAAATTGTATAATTATTTGCATTGTGAGCGTTGTTTTGTTTTAAGTGTATCCAAATATTTCTGTGTGAGACAACGATTAAGATTAAGAACTTAAATAACATAAAAATCTGGGTCATAATCCAACAAAAAAAGAATCCAAAATTTAAAGTAAAAAAAAAAAAGAAAACCTGTGTGTTTGTTTTTTTTTTGTAGTCCCATTACGTTTTTTTTTTTTTTAAAGAATAAAGACAACTAATCCAATGATATACATATAAATAAATACTATATATATATATATATTTATATTTTTATTTGTATTTTTTATAACAAAGATTGCAACACTACTTTATATACTTATCTAGATAACGCTAACTGAATATTCGATATAAAAAAAATTAAAAAGCGGGCCTAATTAATTGTTGGTAAAAATAAAAATAAAAAAACGAAATAAATACAAAAAAAGGGTATCGTCTTCTTATTATATCCTTTTATATCCTTGTTATTCATTTGGCCTCCTGTACATTGAGCATAGTTTCTCCCCACCCCGTTTAATATCCCCCTCCCCGCCCCATTTCGTAGTCCTGGTTGGGAACTAGAAACCCTCCTTGGCCGCCCGGAACTTGTAATGATTGCTTCGCCCATCCAGACATGGTACTTGGACCAGATTAAAGTAAATGGAGCCCATCAGCTGCGAGGCAGAGGTGTTGGTCATCTTCAGGCAGGAGAAGAGCAGATCATCACAAATGCAATGGGATCTGGGGGATCACCGAAGAGATATTACCATAATATACCATCTATATAATATTTTTAAACTCACTTTGTGTATAAGGAATCATTGTTCAGTTCGTATTTGTGCTGATAGGCCCGGATCTTGACCGGACAGAGGTCATGCTGGCGACAGCAACGATCCATGGCCATTTCACTGCCCAGATCGCTATAGGTCTCGGCTATATCTCCAGTGCCACACCATTTGGTTCCTATAATAGATATAATCCCTCTAGAAAAAGGTTCCTTTAAGGCTATAAGTCATATCATACCTGGTATAATCCCGCTCAGCAGTGAGAACGGACTTCTTGGAAAGATATTGGTGGCCAGTTTCAGAGCCACTCCATCATTGGTGTCTCCTGACGAGGAGGCATCTCCTCCTGTACCTCCACCACTGCTACGTTCGCCATTTTCCAACTTGGCCTTGTGCCTGGAGGCATAGCTGATCTTATCCACATGCTCGCACTGATCCATCAGCTTCAGCATTTCATCAAACTTGATCTCCAGGGGGCGGTTGTAGTGTGAGAGTCCTTCCAGGAGCATCTTGCCCTCCTTGTCGTTGCTAGAAGATAGGATTGCCGGGTTAGGATTAGTGCTTGCTGGGAATATGCAATAGCTTCCGCATAACATCCAATATATACTCACTAGATTTCGATCAGCTCACAGCCCAGCAACAGCTTCTGGGGTCCCAGCTCCGTAACGGCTATGGTCAGATCGTGATAGTATATCATAATGAGGGAATCGTTGCTCACCCGCTTCCCGCTGCAAAAATAATGATATGAGTGATATAGTAGATATAGTAGACATCGTAGCTGAGTGAGAGCTACGAAGGAACATTTATGGGTAACATGGCCAGCCCATGACTACGTGACATCCATGGCAATGGTCTACGATTGGAGTGAAAAGCCTCGATTCGATTCGATCGCCACTAGACTGACAATCGAATTGAATCCACAACTCACCTGTAGGTCTTCATCTGCCGGACGCTGCGCTGTTCGATGATCTGCTGTGTGAACGACTGGAACGAGGGGAATCCCTGTAGTCCTTGCGGCAGGCTGAAGGATAATGTCGGCTTGGCCACTGCCGCCGAGGTCAGATAGCCGAGAAGGCAGCAGAATAGCACCGAGGCCAGCAATTGGAGGCGTCTCCTCAGCCACAGATTGTAGGGCATTGTTAGTGGTTTTTTTGTTGTTTCTGCAGGTGGATCGGGTGGAGCTGCCACTATGGCATCGCCGGCTGGACTGAGCCGCTACCCAAATAGTCCTTCGGCGATAGAAATATCCTACCTCTTTCTAAAAGAGAGAGCCACGAGTATTGTGATTCTTTAATTAATCAGCTGGATAAGTTCGCGGAGACTACTACTATATGGGGCTACTACTATATAGCTACTATAACCCCTAGAATGGGGTTTTTTCTGAGTCTTAGGATAGGGTTTAGCAATGGAGCAATTGTGAGGGCTGCGTGTCAAAACGTTGAAGGCGTCGCCAAACGATTCTGAATAATTTAAACAACCATTTACGCTACAGATAGAAAAATTAAGCCCTTCTCCACGCTTCTCATTTAGTTCAGCTAATGGGAGACTAATTTCCATTCGTTTCAGTGTAAAAGTTTAAAAACTAGAGAGGCTCGTCCGTCAGTTGGATGATTTCCCATCATAGTCACAGTTCAAAACCCCTTAGTCGGGGGAGAACAGGTGCCAAAAAACCGCGATTCAGATGACCGCGTTCCCAGGGTCTGGACAATGGATACACGTGCTCCGCCAGTCGGCATATCGGCATACATATGTCATTCATTGCATCAGGCCAAGCCCAGGTCGAGAATCGGACGAGCCCCGCCCTTTCATTAGTTTGAAAAGCCACTGGGGCGGATACATGCAACACATATTGCGTATACGCCGCGTATGGCTAGTGGAAGACAATGGCCAAAAAAAAGACAAAAAAGACTATAATACATTGTGGAATAATTGCCGACAGGTTGGATTACAAAATTCTATAGATGATTTGGAAATTTTGTGAAATTTTAGTTATTTAGTTTTTATTATAAAAATTACTAAAGATTTTTTAAAGAATTAAAAACTATTTTTTTTGCAATCTCGACATGAACTGACATCATGGCCGAAGGTCAGGGGTCAGTTGTCCCTTGACCTTAGCGTGGTTTCTTTTGTGTTTTGCTTTTCTCTCTTTCCCAGCAACTCTATTAGCTCGGAAAAAGAAAACACATACCTGGCCCCGGCTCGAATGGCCAAAACACACGCACCACCAACCTGCTAATAAAGCTGCCAAAATGTCCGCCATAACACCTGATTCACACTCCTACCGGACACAACCCGGCTCCTCCTCTGACGTTTATTGTTATTACCATTATGGTGGTATATAAACATATATTTTTTATTTTTATTTTTATTTTTTTTTTGGTTAAAAAAGCACGAAAGTTTACGCAAGTCGGGGGACTTCAGGGTGGCCCTGTAGGTGAGCAAAGTGAAAGTGATTCGGCCACGACGATATGGCCAATAAATAAGATGACGAACTGGCCAAAAAAAAAATGGGTATGTTTGGCAATAGACCTTGCCTATAGCTACGACTCCACCCACTCCTCTACGACTTGGCCAACAGATACAAGATACAAGATACAGCCAGAGAGATAAAAGCTAACTTGGCCAATATGTGTGTCAAGTGGAGCACTTAATTCAATGCTAAACGAAAATGCAAATAGCCAGTAGAGTTATGGCCCAAAACGAATCTGCAATGGCTTGAAGACTGGAGACTAGAATTTTCGAAAGGTCTGAGAAGTCTAGAGATCTAGAATTAGACTTTGTCTAATTTTTAAGTTAAAAATTAACATTAAATGAATCATAAAAGCTAAAAACTACTTCCTAATTCCAAACGAGTTAGGATAGGTTATAATTGGAACACGTTTATAGGTTAGTTTACGGTCGAAACTATAAGGCTTAGTCATTAGTCATGGCCTCTGGATGTAGGTACTTTTTTCGGAGCTATATTAGAAAAGTGTCAACTCATTGTTGGCCAAGTCTGAGGGCCTAATTCACAAGATCTTTACACGGAAATCAAAATGCCAGAAGAAAGCAATCAAATTAAATGATAAATCCAAATGAAATGTCTCTCGAACAGTTTTCATCGCTGATATGGGAAACTAATGGCATCGAGATAAAAAATGATGATGATGACGATGATGATGGTTATAATGAAAGCTTTGGGTGAAGTCTAGAGGTCTAGAGATCATCTCTCAAGTGTTTCTTCCGCTGAAGTCAAAAAAATAAAAGTCAATAATGATACTTTTGGCTAACTTGAACTTGGTCGGAAGCCCTTTTTTGTTAAAAGTCTGGTTTTCTGGCGAGAGTTGGCCGAGTTCAAAAGTTGAAAAAAGAGAAATAAAAAAAAAAACCATGGCTTTAAAGCCGCAAAATTGTTGGCCAAAACAGCTGGCTGGGGGCCTTGGCATAGGTCAGTGAAGCGTATTATTATGGCCAGGCCGAAAAGCACCAGCAATCCTCGTCCGAAAAACACTCCCACTTTGAAGTAGATATCCCCAGGGGGGTTTGAATCTCTATAAGGTCTATTGGATACTCTTTTTCTTTTTAAAGAAAATTATAGTTTTTGGCAACTAATCTTAGCTTTTATATATCAAACTCTCTTGAAAATATTTTTCTTTTTAATATATCTTTTTTTTAAAGAGTATATTTGTTCAAGTACTTTGTCGAGGGAGTGCAGTAAAAGTGGCCAAGACTGCAGATGAGCCACAACACGAGCACGTTGAAGACAAAAACAGCCAACAGGTTTTCAGTTGGCTCTTGAATCTGCCTTAACTTTCACATTGGGCACCTAATTGTGGGTCTTAATCTCGGTTAATTTGCTCCAGTTTTTATCGCCCGTTTGTGGCACACGCGATGATGAAGATGCTCCACTGGAGCCACCACCAGTGTCTTGGAAGAATGGTAGCATAGGGTCTACCCCCACATTATGCAACTCCATGGGGGAGAAGGGGCAGCCCAGTCACACTTCACAAAGGTCTGCTAATATACTACATCTTCTATATATATGAGCTCATGTCTTCACATCAATTTAGTGTCTATAATAGTTATAGTTTTAATAAAACTTTATTGGGCTTATAACGTTAATGAAAATATCCATTCGACTTTTAGGCTTTGGCTCTTTTGGCTCGAAAACTATAAAAACTATTTGGATTTTGAAATTGGCATGCAATGAGTGTACAATAGCTTCGAGGCTTTCAAGCTTATTGTATTGTATATATATATATTTTCTTTAAGTGCATTGCCTCTTTGATCAAGTTCGTCTATAAATGGCATTGCAACAACATCTCTGTGGAATTCTCTGGATCTCTGTGGGAATTTGAACTTGCGCGCCACTTTTTATAGCCCATTAAGAGACAAAATCCCAGGCAGAAGTCACAACAATAGATCTGTGATTTTTTAATTATAATGCACCCAGAAGTCTGGTCAGTTTCACTTTCAAAACACACACTCACTATCCACTACTCACTCACAAAAAATAAACGCTGGTCTTGGCCAAAAAAAAACCACGATTCAAAAAGAGGCGCATGCGCAGCTTTAAAAAAACAGACTCGAACTCGAGCTCGAACCGGAAAACAACAACAACAACAACAAGTAACACTCCAAACTAACTAGAAAATATATAAAAAATCAACAATCGCAATGTCGCAAACCGCTCGCTGCCGCGCAAAGTCAGCAACTGATCGATCAAAATCCAAGCCGGGCCCAAAAGCCGCCAAGAGAGACTCCGCCGTTGGGGCTCCGACGCGGCGTCGGGGCTACGCGGCAGCTGAAGCTACACAGGCACTGACAAAAATTTTGGATGACTTTTTAAACTATATAGTATTTTAAAAAATTTTAGAAATACTAGAAACTTTCAAAGGAAGTATACAAACATATTTCCAAGATAGTTTATGATTTTAGACTTAGGAACGAAGAAAAAAAATGTAATATATTAGAAAATATAAAAATATAGAGTTGTATATTACTTGGTTTTATATATAAGCTTTTAGAGAATATTTTATAAAATTCAATCAAAACAAAAACATTTTTAAAAATATTTTCAAAGTTCTTGAACGTTTTTCTATTCCAAGGCAACATATTTCATGATTTAATATAATTTAAGCCTTGAAAATTTTTAAATTTTAAAGAAAATATAAAAATCTAGGGTTTTAAATATAATTTTTTTTAAGTAACTAAGCTTTTAAACAACGTTTTGTTATAAAAATCAAACCTAAAAACTATAATCTTTCAAAGTTCTTTGGAAAATTTTTAAAAAACAAAGTTCAAGCCTTAAAATCATAAAAATTAAGGAGGAAATATAAAAATCTAGGGTCTTTTTTAACTTTTTAAGTAACCAAGCTTTCAAACAACGTATTGTAATAAAATTCAAAAACAAAAGCTCTTCAAAAATTTTAAAAAACAAAGTTCAAGCCTTAAAACCTTAAAAATTTAATAGGAAATATAAAAATCTAGGGTCTTATATGTAATATTTTAACTAACTAAACTTTTGTAAACAAAACTAAACAAAACTATTTTGTAATGAAAATCAAACAAAAAATCATAATCCCTTCAAAGATCTTTAAAATTTTTAAAAACAAAGTTCAAACTTTAAAACCTTAAAAAAGGCCTCTTTTATTAGCTTTCTTTATAAAATATGAGTTGTTTACCTACTATTTAAAATAAAAATTTTTTATTTTTTATATTTTTCCCCCTTATTTCCTCTCAGTGTATAAAAGCAACAAAGCCCCGCGTTGGCGGCAACGAGACAGCGATGAAAATGTGTCAAAAGCAAAAGCAGCTCGACAGCAACAACAACAATTACTCCGCGGACAGGTGAGAACAGGCCGACACCTGTTGATACCCTACACTAATGGAAGCGATGACTAAAATCTGAATATGACTTTTCTGGTAATTAAGAGTTTGTCAGCATTAAGGAAGCCCATTGCTTTTGTTCTTAATTATTAAAGATAATCTCATTAACAATTAAGAAGCTCATTAAAACGCAATTAATTATCACATTAGAATACTTTTAAGGAGTATTTTAAGATATATTTTGTAGGAGAGTTTTGTGGCTGATTTTAGAGTTTTTGTTACTTTATTATTCTACAAACCTATTTATTTTTTTTTTTAAAAAGAATTTACTTAATGAGAATGATAAAAAAAACATGTTAACAAAAGGCTTGCACAAAATGCAACAGCTTTTAAAATTAATTTACTAGACGAACGTTTTTTTTTAAGGCCTATATAATACATATGTTTATATATATATATTTTTTTTTAATAATTAAGGCCCTTAATTTTTGTACTTGGCAGCTTAAAGTACTTGAAATTGCTTAAGGTATGCAATGCACTAAGAATAATATTTTAAAGTTGCAATGAACCTTCATAAGACCCTTTTTGGATATTGCTTCAGCAACATTGTAAGAAATATTTAAATTAAATATTAATATTAAAATTAATTTAAGAAAATAAACATTAAACTTTTTATTTATTTTTCTTGGTGTTTTCATGAGTGGGCGGTCTGCAAGATGTTGCTGTTGTAGGTATTGTTGCTTATGTTGCTGCTGCATCTGTTGCTGTTGTTGTTTCTTCTCATACTGTTGTTTTTGTTGCTGTTGTGCCGTGACCTATTTTAGAGCAACTTTACGGCTGGCTCTGCACTCGAGCCTGCATTGCCAAATCAAAACGGTGGCTGATCTTCGGCTGCGATCGGTTGGTTGGTCCATCAATTGCTGTCGCCGGGCCGTGCCGTGCCGACCAGGTGAAAACAAAGCCCAGCCAAACAACTTTTACAATGCCAGCCGAAAGAAAAGTGACAGTGGGGCAGGCAGAGTAACCAGCAAAGCAATTAAAAATGGTTTTTAAGCGACACACCGAAAGCGACACACAAAAAGGTAAACAATGCCCCGGTCGTGCTGGTAGCCGTGAAAAAAAAAGGTGCTGACGCTCAGGGGCAACGTACGGTGAAAACTCTTGATGGGAAACCAGCTTATTAACATCTACGATTATTAAGTTTTACACTAATCCTTATAAATAACCACGGATAGGTTTAACGAATCTATATTTTGGTATATATAGTACAAAAAGTCTAGCCCTAAGTTATTTTTGTTTTAAAGTCGCTTGGCCCGAGAGGGGCAGGACCTCTAGCGCATGCGGATCTCCTCTGTCTTTGGCAAAGTGCAGCACCTCAAAGCCCACCTCCACCATGATTAGGATAATAATCATCCACTCCAGACGGATGTGATGAGCGTCGTTCAGATTGTGGGACACCAGCTCGGCCAGTTCCACGCAATGGTTGATCTTCTCGTTCATCACCTTGGTACGTCGCGTGATGCTAAAGTATGAGCACACCTGTAGATACAACGCCTCCAGCTCCTCGCGATCCCAATAGAAGTCCGGAGCATCCAGCAGATCCGACGACAGATTGATGACATGCCGCAGAGCGAAGAGTTCGCCGGTTTTCCGGAGCATGGCTGCGCGGGATATCTTCAGACGGCGACCGCGTTTCAGGTCCTCTGTGAGATGTTCAATGGAGCCGATATAACGATCCAAGGTGGCCTCCCATATGCCCAGCTTGATGGACTGAGCGATGGCGTTGGAGAAGGTGTACTTGTACAGGAAACTATCCGTATCCGCGGTCACAAAGAACTTTCCGTTCTGAAAGAAGGCCCTCGAAGTGACGTTGAAGTCACTGCTCTCCGCCACCAGGTCGCCCTCCACATCCACCGCCGTAGATGGAATGTAGGTGTACGGCATCACCTCGCTCTCGCCGTGAACCAAGGCACTCACATAGGACTCGCGTTCAAAGGACCTCAGGAAGCTGAGCACGTTATTCGTTTCGATGTCGCTGCAATTCCAGAAGACGACGGAACCCTCGCGGAAGAAGAAGATCTCCCGAGGCTGCTGACCGGTGGGATACTTGGCGGATACATAAAGAACATTCTGCTCCACGTCCTGGTTGTCGGTGGAGAAGAAACGCTTCGTTTCGTAGAGGTTCTGTTGACGGAGAGCTATTTGCAGGTCCTCGAGGTTGTACTCCTCAGCCGTGGTGTATCCCCGAGTGTTGAGGAAGCCAAGGGCGGACAGTTCGTCAATCGCCAGACGCTTCTTCCGGATGATGCGGGTGCGGATGGGGGACAGGACTGTTTCCAAGCGCTCTTCAGCCAGCGGTTTCACCCGAGGCAATGTTTTCTTAACTGCTGGCGTTGCTGAGGACGCAGGACTCTCCGTCGCTGCTGGGGAAGGAGCTGTGCTGGCCATCCATCGCCTGCGTTGGCCCCACCACTGGGTCTGTTTCGACGGGGCCCGAAGCCCTTTTAGGAGCATGTGCTCAAAGCGCAGGCGTGCAAAGTTCATATTTTTTTTTCTTATCAGACTTTATCCAGGAACGACTAGTTATCCATATCTGGCAGCAAGATATTATAAAGATGTGATTTAATTGGTCTATCTATAATGCTGTAACTAGCCGGTTAGTTTTAGCCGATTGTCCTTTGTTGTGATTATCGAAAACGTTAGCGATGGCTGTTTTTCGATAGTTTCTTATAAGAATAATTCTTATTTAATTTATGTGGGTAAAATATAATAGAACAAAGACTAAATTGGTTGTATAAATATTTAAGGTACTTTTTAATTAACTAAAATTTGTAATAATCAAACTATTTTGAATATTTCCCAACGATAGTTTTAAAATATTTATATCGATAAACAAATAATCAGCTGATCGAACTTGTGCAACCGAAATTGCTGTGGTGCGGCTGTAATTTTGGTTTTTATAAATTAAATATAGAAAAATGCAACTGACGCTGATCAACTTCTTCAAGAAGACCGTGCCGGGTCACATTTTCCGTGGAAAGCGGCGGCTGGTGAAGCCCGTGAGCAAAAAAGCCATGGATACACTGACCCGCGAGTACGAGCGCCAGGAACAGGTGATGCTGCTGCTCCGTCACCCCTACCTGACACTGGTATGCATTCCAACTATTAAACATGATTAACAGATAATAACTATTAAATCAAATTGGTAGGAACAATCGTCGGGTCATGCTAAGGAACTGCAGAAACGCGACAAGCTGGTGGCCAAGTGGACGGCTGAGCAAACAATACGCAAGATGAAGCCGCATGTGACCATCGAGGAGCGTCTGAACCAGCTTAAAATTAAGGAAGCCTGGGATTAAGTGCTGTTCCACACAGACATCCTTGTTAACCCGCATTAAATTTAAAATAAATATAGATTTTATGGAAATTATGTAATGACTAATCCCTGGAGAAAACCGGATAACACTCTTGTGGGAGTTTTATTTCGAAGATTTCAGTATATAGAGCTCTGAGACTTGCATAACTTTAAAATCCAAAGAAGGCAACCCTTGGATCACCGGCATGATGATTCTGAAACGCACTGTACTTTGGAGAAACTGTTCCCACCATTGTATTTCTGTCTCTGTCGGTTTTGGGTGGTTTTAGCGCTTGCTTGCATCGCTTTATTCGTTTAATTGCGGTTCTAAGTGTATATATATATATATATATTTATATATTTCGTGTATATTATGTATATGAACTGTGTTATGTACATATGCAAGGCATGTAACATGTTTTTGTCGCTTCTATATCCGTTCCGCCGTTCCTCCAGACCTCTCTCCAGCCAGAACATCCTCCCCAGCATCGTTAGATTCGTTAGAACTTTATAGACTAAAAACTTTATTATTTAATGTGGTTTTTTTGTTTTTGTTATTGCTGTTATCTCTGTATTGGAGTTCTGTTTGTTTACTTTGATTTTAGGGATACTGTTCTCTTACTTTTAGAAAGCAATTTCAACACTTTTAAATTGAAAAATCTGATTTTCCAAACGCCCCCGCAAGGATTAGGGAATGATCATCGAAATACTAGGGACTTTCACTAGTTTCAGTTAATGGGGGAGGGGGGATACAGGATAGGATATGGGGGGGGATAGGTTAAGTGAGTTTGTTTTCAATTGTTTTTGCAATAATACCAATGGAAAATTTATCTCATATATATATATAGCTACGACGACATCGCCTCCTGTCACATTTGTCCTAGGTTTCGTTTCGTTTTCGTTACTATCATTTGCGTTTTTGTTTTGTTTTTTGTTTGCTTTTGCTTTTGCTTTTGGTAAATGATCGCGCATAACCTCAATAAAAGATTTTGTAACAATTTTAAATTAACTTTAAAAAAATAGATATATGCATATTTTGTTGTTGCTGCTGCTGCTCCTGCTGTATACGAATATATGCGTAATAGTTCCGCCTTTCCGCCCTGCTATTGCGGCAATACATCCCAGCCATCCGTCACTCAATCGGCGGCCTGCGGCGTTGGGCTGATCTTTTTCGTCTCGATCTCACCCGATTCATCGTCCTGCGGCTCATTGGAATCACCGCCCTGGGATCGGGTGAGCGGCGATGCCGGCAGCAAAGGCGGCGGCGAACTGGATAGCATGGCAACTGGCGAGGCACTTGTGGTGGCCGCTGCGGCACCATCGCCCATTCCACGCTCGGGTGCTGGCGGCTCTGGGCCGGATGTCGCCGATGATGATTCTGGTGCTGTTCCCACCGCAGACGTCGGCTCTTCGCTGGGCGTCAGCGGCGGTGAGTCCAGCTGCTGTTGGCTGAACTCCTGATTCGGACTCTCCCGGGTGAACAGGCCCATTTTGGATTCGGATCCGGCAGTTCCTGCTGCCGGAACAGTTCCACTCGCCTCTCCGCTATCCGTACTGGTGCTAATCAGAGAGTGAGCAACCGTGGGCGCTGCCGGACCACTCACCAAATGGGGCGGAGCGTGCAGCGGGACGTGCTGGTGCTGCTGATGCTGCTGTTGGTTCTGTTGCTGCTGGGCGACGTGATAGCGCGGTATGTCCGCCTTCCGCCACAGCGTTATCTCCTGCTGCTTGAAGTAGCGCCTGTCCTCGGTGTCCATCAGGACCAAATTGAGGAAATACTTGACCGAGAACTTCTTGTTAATGTCCCTCATGGTGGGCGTGAGATTATAACCGGCAAGGAACACCCGAATGGGTATGCTCTCACCCTTAACGGGGGCTCCATCCATAATCTCGTACTTGGCAATCGTTTCACTCTCGTTGAACATCGTCGGACCTGTGCCGGTGCTTTCCCGCTTGATGATTGCTATCTCCATGTGCTTGATCTTGATGCGTACCAGCAGGAAGTAGATCTTACCGATGATCGTGTCCCTTAAGTGATACTTGCTCTTGTTGTACTCGAATTCGATGTGCAGGCAGTCCTCAATGCCCACTTCCATTTTAATAGGATTGTTCATCTCCGGATAACTACACAGGGTGTGCACGGCGATGTCCACCTCCCGGGTGATGTCGCTGATCCGTCGCACAATCGTGGCACGCAGGAAGTACCGCAGCCTAACGTTGCTGCCAGCATAGACCTCGAACTGTTTCTCCACATTGGGGAAATCGAACGGATAGCTGTTGTTCTGGATGAGATCTCCGGGTCGGGCCAAGGCCTTGGCCAAGCACTTGAACTCGTGGTGGTTGCCTCTATCGTAGAATAGCTCTATTTGTCCAATGAACTCGATCTTGATGCCCTGGTGCTCCAGCTTGCTGCCCGGTTTCTTCAGCGTGACATTCACCTAGATAATGACGGAGAGTGGAAGCGATGATTAACGAGAGTTTTTTGCAGTTAACTGATAAAGCTTCATGGGATGCGGGCAACTCCCCTTGTATGTACACAATTATTAAATAAATTCAACAAACAAACGAACCTTTCCTGAAACCGTTTCACCGTCATAGAAGAGCAGCATCTTCTCCACCTTCCCATCCTCCCCTTTGACCTCGGCTGTCTTGTGCTCGGCGCCATCGAACACGATCTCAATGTCCGCTGACTGGCCAAAGCCCAGGAAATTCATAATTGATAAACTCGGAATCGGCTTCCTCCCCTGCTTCGTCTTCTTCTTCTGCCTGCGCTGTCCGTTGCTGCTGGTGCTTCTTCTTACTCCCGCTGCTTTGATGCTGCTCCGCTAGGCTGGAATGTCGTCTCCTCTCACCCGGAAGGCTCAGCGGTTTATTTGGCCAAAATTAACGCCTTGTTGCCTTTGTTAACTGAAAATTTGATGGGCGTATTTGCGGCGTTATGTGCTGGCGTGTGTGTGTGAAATCGGAAAAAAATTGCAATTTTTCTCACAGCACAGATGCCACCTAGTTGAAACTTGCGGCCGGTGTTGCCACCTAGTGATGGGCGTAACTGCACTATCGATAGTTATCAAAAATACCAAACAATCGATAATACCACATATACCAAATGCTTTTATTGTGGTATATTGTGGTCACACTGAAAGACCGCTAAAAAATTACAACAAAAAAATGTTTAAATGATCCTGGAATGAACGAACTCTAAAAACACGCCACAAACAGATTAAGGGCGCTTGCTGAACTCTGCATCTTGTGGGGTGAGTGACAGCCAAGACCCAGGCTGCCCACACAGTCCCACCAACCGCGAATGATTTGCCACACGCGCATCACCATCGGTGGCATTAAAACCTGCCATTGATCCTTGACCTGTCGCAGGAGCTGCACCTCTTCGCACAGCTGCCGGCGGCGCCGGATACGACGGAGTTGCAATTCCAAGATGCGCCTGTTGGTATCAGATACATATATGGGGTTACTGCCTGAAGGAAGCTATTTTCTGTCTTACCTTTTTATGTGGGCTTTGGCTTGCTCAAAACTATTTATGCGCATCTTGGTGTTGATCACCTCCTGGGTGAGATCAAACATCCGCGAGCAGAGCATCACTGACCTCGATGTATAAAGTTCGCCCTTGTCCACGGCCTAGAAAGGGAAAGGGTATGGCCAATACAAGGCTTTAGAAACTAATAACTTGTCCATGTTGTACCAACCAGGACATCCAGCTTCCGATGGCGCTCCTCCAGCAACCTGGTGGTGCGCCTGGCCTTCTCCAGGCGTTCGGTCATCTTGGCCGATGCGTACCTCTGATGGATTATCTCGAACCGTTTGTTGCGCAGCTCGCACTGTGTCCTCCAAAGCTGGGCCTTCCGATTTTTAAGCTCAATATCCATCTGCGACTGCTCCACGATCATACGCGTCCTGTTGACGTCCAGACGCATGTGACTGGCGTACAAGGTGCGCAGGACACCGGACACATTGATTACACACAAGCCCAAGGCGTCGTTTAGACCCTGTTGCTCCTGCAGGCTAAGGCATCGGCGTCCGGACACAGGAGCCTGTCGTATAGGCGAGGGCTTAGTACTAGTTACTATACTTTCTAACCTTTCTACCGCCTCACCTTTGTGGCGAACATGCGAAAGCTTTCGTTGAGAATGCGCCAGGCTTGGAACGATCGTTGCGGATCCCGACCCGGGCTGGCCATGTCAGTTCTAGCTGGACTCTGGTCTTCGCCGCTGGAACAATACGTTCAATTTGGAATTTCGATTTGGACGGATCGGGCGAGTTAAACATCAGTTGCTTTAGGGGGCTTTCGGTGAACTGAATACTGGGCTGGAGGTGGGACTTTGGTGGGGGGACTGACAGGCTGACAGATGAATCAAGGCTGCCCAGAATATAGAATCTAACAATGCCTGCTTAGTAGTAGTGCCAGATTAAAAACCAATAAAATAAATATTAAAAAATTCAATTTAATTGAAAAAAAAAGTTAATAGAATACCTGGCGACTGGCCTGCAGGAAAACCCACCAATTACATTTAAAATTTAATATACACACTTGCATAAATATATCTATATATATCTATATATATATGTGTATATATGTATACTGAATACTCAACGATTGCATGAAAATATATATGTATGTATGGTATAATAACAACAAATCTTAGGGATTAATCTTCTGGAGAGTCCTACAGGACTGTGGGCAGTGGTTCGGCAAGCTTCTTGGTCCAGTCCTGACGGGTGGCTGGATCGCTGATCTGGTCCAGTCCCAGGCACTTGCCCTGCGAGATGAGTTCAGCAAACTGAGCGACAACCGGATCCCGACCGCAGGAGGCCACTGCAGTGACGGTGGCAGCATCGTTGACGAAATAGGCCACGAACTTCAACTCCTCCATGTCGCCGTCGATGATGACCTGGCTGTAGGCACCGTGACCGGCATACCGGATGCCCTTGCCGAAGATCATGGTGAAGAAGAAGGGAACAGCCTCCAGTTTCTTGACGCCACCGCACATATTGATGGCCGCCACCCGGCCGTGGTACTGGGCCAGCTGGTAATGCCCGATATTGACGCGATCGTGGGCCAGACCCAGGATGTGGGCATTGGCGATGTCGCCGCCCACATAGACATCCGGGACATTGGACTCCAGGAAGTCGGTGACATCCACGGAGCCGTTCTTGTTGACTTTCACGCCGGATTTGGCCAAGAACTGGGTATTGAGCTTGGATCCAGTGCCCAGGATGAGCAGGTCGCAGGGCAGCCGAGTGCCATCCACCAGCTCCACCTCGGTCACCTTGCCGGCCTCGTTTCCGATGATCTCGGCAATGCCGCTCTCCATGCGCATGTCCACATTGCTGTCCTTGTAGAGCTTCAGAACTCGCTCGCCGATCTCCTGGCCGAAGGATGCCTTGAAGGGCACGTTCTCCCGCGCCACCAGCGTAACGCTGGCCGCCTTGGACACCAGACCGGCGGCCGCCTCCATCGATATGAAGCTCGAACCGAGGCAGACCACCCGGGTCTCGGGAGTGACTGTCTCGTAGATGGCCTTGGTGTCGGCCAGCTCGCGCACGGTGCACACATTCTCCAGATTCACGCCCGGAATGGGCGGCCGAAAGGGCGTGCATCCGGTGGCCAGGTAGATCTTGTCGTACTTCACCACATAGCCGTTGCTGCAGTGCAGCTCCTTCTGAGCCGTGTCCAGTTTATCGGCCGACACTCCCAGCCACACTTCGATGTCGTGATCCTTGTAGAACTGCTCGTCCCTGAAGCGCAGCTGGTCGATGTCCAGCATCATGGCCTTGGAGATCTTGACACGATCGTAGGGCAGATAGTCCTCCTTGCAGATGAAGACCAGCCGTCCGGTGAAGCCCTCCTGACGGATCGTTTCCACGGCCACAGCCCCGGACGGGCCGCCGCCAACCACGATGAACACCCGTTGGTCTTCCGGTTTGCGGCGAACCATGTTCTTGAGCCGCTTGCTCTTGGCCAGATCGGACTTCTTGGCCCGCAACATCACCTGACCCTCGTCGCCCAGCTCCACACGGTAGCAGGGCAGCGAGTCCAGGCCGGGGAAGTCCTCAATGTCGCCCGTCTCCAGATTGAAGCAGGCTCCGTGCCAGGGACAGCGAACACGACCCAATCCCAGGGCTCCAGTGTTCAGGGGCGCTCCGTAGTGGGTGCACTTGGAGCCCACGGCCTGCAGGCGACCGTTCTGCTTGACCAGCAGGACGCGGGTGTCCTCATCGAAGTCCACCTGTCGCATCTCGTTGTCCTTCAGGTCGGTGATCTTGCATTCGACCGTCACGGCTTCCGTGTACTCCGCGACAGCATCGCTGGACGAGGGTCTCGTGGACGTTGTAGTGGCCATGGCTGGATTGTTGCACTTGGATTGGTAAGAGCCGACGGTACCACCTGGTTATCGGGGCGAAAGCGGAGACCAAGAAGAGCGAGAGATACAAAAGAATTAGATTCAAAATGTAAAATGTAAATGGGTAGCACATAAAAATTTTCAATTTCCAGTTTTCTTTTCCATTTCCATTCGAAGGGAAAGTCATCGGCCTGCTCAGGTATAGACACACGCCCAAGTTAGTTCTTAAAATGTCGCGTTCGTGTTTGGAGGTCTTGCTGGGATTGCTATTCATCCTGGCAGCTGGAGAGGCCAGCGAGAAGCTGCCGGAGTTGCGATTGGAGTTGCAACTCCTCCAAGCGGAAATGGCGCGTCTGTATGTGGAGCAACCACCCCGGCCGGAGACCCAACTGCTTCTGGAGGAGCTTCAGCTCAGGGAACACCAACTGATCCTTCAAATCGATAACCTACAACGGGCCGGGAGCACTCCCAGGCTGGCCATTAATCTGACTGCCGATTTTGAGAATCTTCAGCACAAGCTGGACGACTTGAAGCACCAGCTGGAGCTGCTGGACGGACGCTTCGCCTCCCAGAGCAAGCAACTGGAGGCTGAGCACACGCCGGCTCCAGCTCCGGCTGCTCCCTCGCCCGGACTGGGCTCCTTTCTCTGGGGACCACTGCTGACCATGCCCGAGTTTCCTCAGGGGAACGTGGCCGGCGATCATCAGCACCAACATCCACATCCACATCAGCCTCAGCATCAGCAGGACCAGCCCCAGCATCAGCCGGAAACTGGGAATCCCTCGATAATCAAGCGGGTTATAGACATGCTGCGGCCTTCGGTGGGCGTGGCTGGTTTGCGGAGTCGCTGGGCGGAGTCGGACAAGTCAGCAGGATCTATAGGAGTTTCGGGCAAGACTGCCTCGTCGTCCTCTGGAGCCAAACAGCCTCTGAGTGCCGAGGAGTTGCTGCCCCAGTTGCAGGAGCAACGACGATTCCTGGACGATGCCATCACTCGTTTAGAGCTCCTGGCGGCCAAAAATAAATTTAAAAAATCCTAAGCTTGTGGGATAAGTTTTTCTAATTTTTTTTTAATAAATAAATTAAGGCTTTTATACTTTCAAATAAATTATAACTAATTCGTTCAGGCACTTGTGTTAAATAGATATAATAGCACTCCAGAAAGAGAATGTAACCACCTGGCTTATGAACCAGAAATAGCCATAGCACCTGGGCAACATGACCACAACAAAAGCGGATCTTGACTCATCCATCAATATTAATCAATAATAATAATAGTCATCCTCCTCGGAACCAGTTTCAATGTCAATGACTAGCCACAAAGTTGGTCAAATCCCGAGGAGTAATACCAGACCCGGTACCAGAATGGAAAAGTGGAGAACAAATCAGACAAGTGGAAGAACACACCTATTAACCAGTGTTTTCCAGCAGGTCTCTGATATGGAAACATTATCGCTGACTCGGTGACTTGCTTTTCCTCTATTTGAATTGTGATATTTCCCTGATAAGGGCCAGACCCAAATATTGATGGTTGGGCAATGACTATATAGGAATCTAGATCTATATCTTTTGGACAATCATTTCCTAGAGAATCCACATCCAAGCAAAAAAAAATCAATATCCCAAAAAAGGGGTCTCTTGGCTTGTAAAATAATTACAGAAAAAAATTTGGATTCTTGTTTAATTAGCAATGAATCGCCATGTTATTTTGTTGGATTTGGATTTCTTACACACAACCACACATTCAAGAAATAAAAACCAAACCGGTTAACCTTGCTCGAAAATGACTCAAAACCATAATAATAATAATAATAATAATAATAATAACAATTGCATGAGAACACATACCTCTAACGAAACAAGTTTCACAAAATTTTGTTGAAAAAAAAATTAAGTATTAATTATTTGGGTATGGGATGGCGTTTTTAGAGTATTATTATTTTCACTGGATTTTTGGAGGAACTATTATTATGTTGTGACGTTTAAAGGCCGGCAGCTGGTCAGCGAATGAGTGGTATCCACCGATTTCAGCCAACTAGGGAGGGTTGTCATGCAAAAAAACAAAACACAAAAAAAAAAAGAAAACTTAAAAGGCAAAGCCGATAGCGGTGACTAACGAAGGTACAGTGAAGACTAGCTATAAGAAATGAGAATATAGAGAATATAGAACCTTAAATAACTATTGTCTTTAAAGGTTCTATTAAATATAATATTTTAAATAATATTTTATAATATTTTAAATAATATTTTAAAATATTTAATAATATTTCTTATTTCTAACCAATCTCCACACTAGTGCCAATGACTCAGCAACTAGTTACGCTCTCCAGCCATCTCATCCACTCTCTTTCGCTATCTCTATATGGGGGCCTATGGGGGGCTCATTCCGGCGAGACTAAAGCAGGTCATTCCCACTCCCCTAATCTCAGTCTCCATTATCCGAACGGCCTTGTTCCGAACGGAGTAAAAGGAACACGACCATATAGCCTATCAAAAAAATCTACAACATGGTCAATATTACCTTTTTCTAATTACAGTCTGGCTGGGATTGGGGGGGTCTAGTTAGAGATTATTTTCGAACCAAAAAAAATACATACCTTGCGATTGGGTATTTTTGGGGGTACTACCCGTGGTTTTGTATTCCTTGCAGTTTATAGATCCCATGATGATCTGGCGACTTAGCAATTGGCGGGACGGTGTGTTGAGTATTTTCGAAATTTGTCTATTTGGAAAAATAGATTTTTGAAAATTTTAAAAAATATTTCGATTTTTATATTCCTTACCTTGGCTTAAGTTCGAGTATTTTGGCCAAGTTTAGAGCTCCACGATACCTGAAAAAGCGACACTTGTTAAGAGCTGTGTTTTTACTCCGCCTCTCCGCCCATTATAATCAATCAGTTAAGTACAATTCGTTATCACTGGTTTTTTTTTTACTTAATTTCCCCTGCTTAAATAACGCTTCTTTATGGGAGTAGAATGCGCTTTAAGGGATTGAGTCACCCGCTGGGATGGATGGATGTGGAATTTCCGAATTCCTCAACGCGTGTTTTTTGGAATTTCGAATATTCCAATAATATTCCTTTTGTCTTTCCTTTTCCACTCACCAACAAAACAAGAATAACAACAAACAAACAAAAAAACAAGAACCGTAAACACTGGAAATGCAATGGAAGGGATGCGATGCGAGAGAGCGTGCAACAGGTCTGAGATGCTGCGAGAGAGAGAGAGAGAGCGGTTGATGTACGCTGAGCAGGTGGGGCGGCGAGGTGGGGGAGTGAGAGAGCGGGCACGTCTATCGCGCGTGAACTGCAAACCGCGTATGGCCCGCAACCTCAACCCCACGAAGCTCCAAGCGCTCCAATCGAATCGCCAACTATAGTGCCGGTCAAGATAATAGGACTCCCGATAATATAACCCACTTGTGGCTTTAGCTTTTTAGACGTGGGAATATATACATTTCTCTATTTATTTTTTTACTATGTCATTATTCTATAAAAAAAAAAAAATAATAAAAACCAGACTTCTTTTTTTTAATCTTTTCGGTTATTATCGGGCGTTTTTAAACAAAATTGTTTAATCGAAATAGGCGCAATACATAAAGATTAAACCACAATCATTGTGGTTGTATAACTACATCGTTAGATACCCTATAGAGCCCTTATTATCATGACCACAAGTGTCTCTTACTGGGCCAAATAAAATACTTGTGTTTTGTGTGGCGACCTTGCCACCGTCGCACTTCACTTCCATGCCCGGAGACACGCCCCTCTCCCACCTTACCGGTTTTAATTGTGAATAGCCTGCTATATAAAAAGATCTAATAAAAACAAAGTAAGAAACAATGTACATACATAATACCAGTATGTTATAACCTTCATCGAGTTACAGACCAATGCACTCTGCACCTGTTGCTGCCACAGTCAGTACCGCGACAAAATTGCAACACAAATCGACGGAACTAGATCGCTTCTTGGCGGTTTTTCCATCTAAGCGGTGTTCCCAATTAAGCAGAACACCACTATCATAATTAATTAGAAAATGCCTGTTCTGTTAGCAAGATAAAAATTGTTTTTAATTTAATATACTTTCAAAAAACTATCCATCAGATATAATATCTTTTGATCCCAAGTGTAGCGTGCAACAAGGATGGCAAGAGAGAGAGGAAGCAAGAGAACGATAACAACAATGCTCTCTCCTTCCAGCCGGCTGGCAATGGAAGGAGCTCCAAAAACTTACATTTTAGCTTGATTATTGCTCAATGGTCAAGCATTTATGCCACTTCCTTTTGAAAGTATTAACGCCTAATGGCTGTCGAACGCCGGACTGGACTAGATAATTGGCCCAAACCGATGGCACGTTACTGATAAATTAATCACCTAAAGGCGGCACGTACTTGTGTTGACACAAGTACCTTGTCTATTATGCACACACATGCATACATATATTAGCAAGCTTTAGTGCACTTTTAGTACAATGTCAGAGGTTACATCAGCTCAGCACATGCCCTTTCATTTTATGAATTGATGTCGTTGATTCAAAACTATTACTTTCACTTAACTTTTACTATCTTTTATAAAATAATTTGTTTACAAGTTCACAGCGTTGCCAGACTAGGTGCAATTAAACTTTAACGGACATTAGCGATGAGACACTTTTCGCGGTGCTATATTTTAACACTACACTAGGCTTAGATAAATATCAGAACTATAGAAAAAAATTAAGTTTTTAAAAATTACTTAAAAAGTTATAGCATTATATATAAATATTTATAAAACAAACAAATTATTTCAAAAAAGTATACGATAGTTGTCTTAGTCCATCTCTAAAAACGTGCTAAGTTTCTCTCTCTTCAACCGACCCCTTTTGCTCCCCTTTATCATTTTTGGTTGTTTTTAAAGTTTAGTTTTGATGGCCAAAGACAGTGAGGATCAGGATATGGAAGCCGAGTCCAATGGGGCGATTGAGGGGCTGAACGCCACGTCGGCGGTCACAGGCCTGCCACAGAAGCGCTTCTATCGGCAACGCGCTCACTCGAATCCCATAGCGGATCACAGTTTTGACTAGTGAGTTGTGGCAATTATGGTGAAGTTCCTCTAATTTATACATTTTTCCCTAGCCCTGCTCGTCCGGAGGATGTGAACTGGCGTGCACTGTATCCCAGCATCCAGCCGGATCAGAAAGTAACCTTTGCAGACATTGGATGCGGCTATGGAGGATTCCTAGTCACCTTGGGCGAAATGTTCCCCGATAAATTCTCCATTGGCATGGAAATCCGGGTAAAAGTATCCGACTACGTGATGGATAGGATTACGGCACTGAGGCACAAGAGCGGAGAGGCGGGCGCTTATAAGAACATTGCCTGTATCCGCACCAATGCCATGAAATATCTGCCAAACTACTTTGCCAAGGGTCAGCTGGAGAAGATGTTCTTTCTGTATCCCGATCCGCATTTCAAGCGTGCCAAGCACAAGTGGCGCATCATCAACCAGGCTTTGCTTTCGGAGTACGCCTATGTCCTGAAAAAGGGAGTGAGTTTTCACCAGAGCACTATTTAGATAGGAATTTCACTAATTGGATCATTATTGCAGGGTCTGGTTTACACTATGACTGATGTTGAGGATCTACACCAGTGGATAGTCCAACACATGGAGGAGCATCCTTTGTACGAACGCCTGAAAGACGAGGATGAGGTTAGTGCTCTAAGAATAAAAGACTGTCTTGAAAAGATTAAGAATCTCCTTGTTCTAATCTACAGAAATCAGACCCCATCACCCCGAAACTCTACCAGAGCAGTGAGGAGGGCGCCAAGGTGGTGCGCAACAAAGGTGATCACTTCCTGGCCATTTTCCGTCGGCTCTAGACTCGTATCGCTCAGCGGTTTATTCGTTATAAATAAATATAAACAATAATTTTAACGTACAATAGCTTAAAGTAAAAATCTGTTGACACAACCCAGGCCGTGGCAAGAGACCCGAGTAAGGCCAGAAGGCTCCACCTCCACTTCGAACTTTACTCCGGTCATTTTCTCGGCCACATGAATGGCAGTGCGAGTATGCTTGGTCAGAGGGCCAGTACGAATTGTAGATACGCCATTGGCCATGCTCATATATATAATTAGCTGATCCTGCATGTGCGCATCCACACAGATCTCCTTGCGCAGGTACTCGACCAATTGGCATGAAGCATCCGAGCCAAGAACATGGCCATCGACCTTCTTCTCACCGAGAGTAGCAGTACCCAGTACACAACCCGTTGTAGTGCGAGCAGTCATTATGATCCCGGCACCATTGTCCCGTGCCTTATCCACAGGATGCTTCACCACTGTAATGGTGCAGTCATTATACGGCCACAAGCGATGAATCTCGCGCTGGGCCGTCTGCTGCATATCCATAGCAATGCTTCTGGGCAGCCGACCGGCGCAAAAAGCATATCCCTTTACATCATCCAGCTCGCCGAAGTCCACGAACTGGGCGGGCTCCACGCGACGTATCGGCAAGAGTTCCAACAGGCAGCGTCCATTGCCGCGAGGATAGAATCCGTAATGTAGGATTTTTAGCTCAGCATGAATGCCAAAGCGCTTGAGGTTGGGCAGCAGTACTTGCTGCATATACTCTATCTGGGGGGCAAAGGCGACATTGGTGCCACCAGTGACGTCCACGCGAGAGGAGCGTGCGGCGAAGAGGAGAACCGGCAAGGCCATCTGATAGATGAGAGTTATGCTGGCCGCAGTTCTGGTTTCCACGCGATAGCTATCATTGCGTACAGCGCGCGGCGAGAACTCCAATTGGGTGGAGAAGAGCGTGTTGCCCACCACATCCGCATTGGTGATGTCCCTCAGCAGATTCACGCCTTGCAGATGCTGGTGCGAGAGTCCCGGCTTCGGGCGATTGGCACGAATATTAACCACTCGCACTGGCTTACTCAGGATGCAGCTCAGGCTAAGAGCGTTGCGAAGCGACTGACCGCCACCCTCCAGATACGAACCATCAATCTCAATGAAGTCGGTAACCTCCATGTGGACCAGATAGAAATTTTACAAAAAGTATGATTTTTTTTGTTTTTGTTAACTTGTGCTGGGATACTAGGTAGTGCCTCGATGAGATGCCACCGTAAAATAAGGAGTCTCATTCAGTAGATATAGGAATTTCATGCCGGTTGAAATTATTTTCTTTCCTTGTGAAAATATAGCCAACTTTGTTTTGTTTTTGTTTTTTTTTTTTAAAGCTAGAGCTTTAAAGCTAAAATGTTTTTATCAGTCTCCCACTTCTTGCAAAGACTTTTTAACTTTATTTAATTACTTTACTTTACTATACGAGGTGTATTTATGTATTTATTTAATAGTTTTTATGGAAATACAAATTTTAGCCGTTTTCCCGCCAAATCTAGCGGGAACTGCAGTCAAGAACTTGCGCCATATGGCAACGCCACTGGGATTGCCTGCAGCGCAATTGCAAACAGCTGAAAATTGTTTATCTGCGGAGTTAGAGCTCCAGTCCATCCTCGTTAGGATAACAAAGAAAAATGTCACGGGTTTACCTGCTGCCAGTGGCTACATTCCTGATATTTCAGGTCACCTTTATTGGGACGTAAGTGGCGGTGGAAAGATTCCTTTTCTATTGAAACAGGACCATGGTTACCCTTTTCGTTTACCATTTTCGTTTTTAGATACATTTTCGCAGTGCTGGAGGGGCACGTGGTTCCCACTGTTCCCTACATATCGGATGCCGCTACTTACTCACCGGAAAGTTGTGTTTTCGGGCAGCTGATAAATATCGGGAGCGTGTTATGTGAGTTTGCAGCTTCCCCACGAATCTCCGCCTAGGTGACTCATCCGCTAATTGCATTGTCTTCTGGTTTTCAGTGGGACTCACGATATATGTGCGGTACCGGCAGGTGCTAGAGCTCTACGAGCACTTCCCGGATCTGGGCGGCGCTATGCTGCGACATAATCGCCTAGCCCTGTGCTGTGGACTCATCTCGTGCCTGGGCATCAGTTTCGTGGGCAATTTCCAGGAGACGAACGTCAGGATTGTGCATTTTATTGGCGCATTTTGTTGCTTCGGCTGCGGCACCTTATACTTCTGGATGCAGGCCCTCATCTCGTACAATGTCTGGCCGTTGGCAGGCGCCCGTCTCTACGCTCACCTCCGGCTGGGCATGTCCGTGTTCTGTACGATCCTTTTCATTCTGCTGGCCGTCACCGGCGTGATGTCACACATCCTCTTCAAGGGCCAGAATCCCCGAAAATGGTATCCCTCGGATGGAGGCTGGTACTTCCATGTTATTAGTAGTATTTCCGAATGGATTATGGCCACCATCTTCAGTTTCTTTATTCTGTCCTTTACGGACGAATTCCGCGATGTGTCGCTATCCCATCCCCAGATTACACTGTTGTCCGTTACCACCACTATCATAGCACCACAACATAGCGAGGTTATTTAAGCTGAAATTATAGATTTGCCGACGAATTTAGTTTGTCCGATAAAGATGCATTTGCCGGCCACTGTTGGAGATTATTCTAATTGGGAGTTTTCCATAGCGCTTCTCTCTCTTTCACCCGCTCTACTTCTTTCTCTATCGGATTGCTGTGATATATGTAATGTGGATGCGGATGAGTCAGCTCTGCTTGATTGAGGAGTTCCATTTATTATTTACCCGAGAGAGTTCATTACAATTAAAATTATTAAATCGAACTAGCACCCAGGATACGAATCGGTTCAATGAAAAAATTATATATCCTGCGCAAAAATCTGTAAAATAAAGTTCAATTACAAATCAAGGAGTGTGTATGTATTCTCGTTGCTAGCGTTTTCGGTCCCTGGAACGTTCGCCGTCTCTATGCTTGTGGCCACCGCGACTCCCATGGCTGCCACTGCCTCCACCACCGCCGCTGCTGCGGTGCGACGACGACGAGTAACGACTGTGCTTTCCCGAGTTGCGATACTTGTCACCGTCACTGCCCCCCACATTGTTGCTGCTGCTGCCTGCATTGCCGGAGCGATCCTTCTTGGAATAGTAATCGGAACGGTCTCGGGAGGATTTTCTAAAAGGTTTTCCACTTATTTTTAAAAATATCTATTTCAGTCAGGATTTCTACGGATGGGATTGACGACTTACCTTTTGCGGTGCTTGCTGTGGGGCGAGGCAGAGCGCGAGGGCGACCGCGAGTAGTGGCGCGAGGACTTCTTTTTGTGCTTGGCCGGAGTGCGTGAACGGGAGCGCGAGGATCGGTGGCTACGGTGGGACTTCTTCGTGCGTTCTCGACTCGGCGACCGGGAACGTGGCGAACGGGATCGAGGCGTTCTTGATTGGGTGCGCGTTCGGGAGCGAGACCGCGATCGAGAATCCTTCTCCGGCGACTTCTCTGATGGCAACGGCAGCGGCACGGCCCTTTGGATAAAGCCGCCCCAAGCGTTGTGCGAGCCATTGTTCCGATCCACCGTGATTACGGCCGGCGATGTGTTCGCCTCCTTGGTTTTATTTCGTGCATCCATGTAGCGTTTCTTCAACTCATCCACAGCAGCCTCCAGTTTCTCTACGACTGGCTTGGGCCTTGTGTATAGCTCCATCACGCGGTAGCAAATGTCTGTTATGTCCGCCATCGGTACACGAAAGATGCCAAACCATGGCGGTGTGTTGGGTAGTGGGATGTTGAGCTTACGGGCACTTAAATAGATGCAGGCACAGGCTATTGCCTCAGGAGTGTAGCGCATAAAGACATCCGTTCGCAGTGAATCGTTCATGAAATTCCAGGAGAGCTGCATCAGCTTTTCATGCTTTTCATACTGAAGCACTTGCAGGTACATCACGATTAGCTTGTGCGGATGCTTCACATGCACACAGAAGCCCAATTCCTTAAGTACTCTCCGCTCCGCCTTGATCACCTGCATCTTGAGGCTTGTGTAGTACGGGTCAAGTACCATTGGTGAAATTTCCCTGTAAAATATAAAATTTAATTAAAGATTTTGAAAAGTTTATAAATAATATGACTTACTTTTGCGCTCGCACTTGCTTGATGTGGTGGAAAACATTTATCACATCCCGAATACGCCTGGGTGCTTCTTCGATCTTGGAGGCCAGGCACACGCAGCTCATGGCCACGGTCTCCATGTTGTGACGCACAAAGCTCTTGGAGTAGAAGAAGCGCTGGAAGAGCACCTGGCCGGTGGCCATGGCCACCTGTGGCAAGCGCAGCAGAATACCCGCCGTTTGTATAAGCTCGCATCCGAGGATGCGCAAGTCCTTCTCCGTTTCGTGGTCCAGGCCATCCTGACTCGAGGGTGTCACATCGATCTTGGTCTCGGGTATAAGGCTATTCTCCAGCGTCAGCACAATCTTGTTGAACAACCGCGGATAGATCGGCTTGTTGACGTCCGTTTCCGCCACAACCACGCCTCCATCTCCTAGAGTAGATTCTGCCCCGCCACCAGCAGGAGCAGTTGTCCCCGATGCCACCACCGTGGTGCTGCTGTTGATGCTGTTTCCGTGAATTGATGAAACTGTCAGCACGCTGGTGATGGACTCTACCACTCCACTTCCAGATAACGATGAGGTTACTGTCACCTGGGAGGCGTGGACGGCAGTGGCGGCGGCCCCACGACTGGCCATTCGTTTCCCGTGTCCACGTCAGATAATGTCTCTTGCTAAGGCTTTAATTTTGCAATTTTGTTTGTGCCTTTTCCTCAATTCTTGCGCGACGGCTTGTACAATGTGACCAAAATATCTAAAGATGACACTTTTGCATCTATCGAAGTAGTCTGCCTATCGATTTAAAGCCAAGGCGGGAAGATTATCGATTTTATTTTGAATAACTTTTAAAAATTAGCTTTAATTAAATGAAATAAATACAGGATACGTTCTTAAAAACATCAAACTTTCCGAGTTTTATTTTTTTGGGAATTGGGGAAGCTGAAAAGAAAAAAGAATTTATTGCTGTAAAAGTTTTTGAAGTATAAACTCATGTCTTTACATTCCAAGATTTAAAACTTGTAAAGTCTTACATATTTAATAAACAAGGAAGTGGGTCGATTTTAAAAGTTTACTCAAGTACAATAACATCCGCTTTAAATGTTTTCTAAACGACAGAAACTCTTACAAGCGAATCTGATTGTAGTGCCAACATTTAGGGGGTTGTGCTATTCAGCAGAATTTCGCTTTTTAAATTTCGCTTTTCGCCGGGATAAACAAAGTTTCGCTTGGACTTCCGCTTCCTGGTCAACATAATTAAAAGTACTTTCCCTGGTGTGCGACTACCATATGCAGGATTAGCAGAGGAACCAGTGCCATAGGTCAGGGGATTCCCCAGTGAAGGATAAGTTGGGCTTCCCAAATTATTATTTAAATTAAGTCTGTTATCTATTTGTAATTATATTGTGTTTAATTATATTTCTTATATTTTTTAAAAGTATTTTTAAGGAATATTAACCCAAATCCCCATTTAATATAATCCCGGCATCCACACATGTCTCTCTCTTTGGGGGAGCGTGTTTGTTTTGACTTTCAATGGGCTCCACCTCTCTCGCTCTCTCACGGAAGCGGAAGCCAGCATGTGTGCGTGCGAAGGAGCATATAGCCAGGACATATAAATAGCAAAGGACCCGCAGGACTCGCTCACTCTGCCAGCGTTGCTTGGAGAGCCGAGTGCCAGTGCTCCCGCCAAGGAGCCTGAATTATAGACAACAACTCGGGCTTTTTGTTTTTGACTTTTTTGCGCAGTTCGTCTGGCATTCTATCTACCGCCAAGTCCTTCGCCAGGAAGCCGGAATTGAGGTAATAATAGAGGAAAATGGAGACCACAGGCTATCAGGACATTAGTGCGCTGGAGAAATCGGTAAGTTAATCGACCGAAAGGACCCTTATCAATATCTAGGAGATAGGCTCCTCCTATTTTCATCTCTGCAGTGCAAAGAAAATTGATGTGTTTATTTTTTTTTTCCCCCTCTCGAAATTCAGGGGGTCAATTACGTGCAAGTAATAAGCCATAGTATAGCCATAAATCCTGGGGCAATTTAGCAGCGAAAGCTATACTTTAAGGACCTGATAATTGGCTACAAAATTTTAGGGTTTTCTTTTAAAAAAGACTAGTTTATGAAAAAGAGATAAATTCAGGATGAGTTGCTTTATGTTTGTGCTAAAAATAAATTATAGCTATAAGGCTTTAATCTATAATTTTATAAAGAATACAAGAACTATATCAGAAGAACAAATCTTAAATAACAGAAAATTGTTTTCATTTCAAAAACTCAAAAAAACGTTAATCTTTAATCTCAAAACTCCGTAGAATCTTTCCCAGTGCCTTGATATGAATAGCGAATTCTGGTTTTAGTTTCTGGTTAACTGACCTTTACTGACTTACTCGCGTTTTATCCCCTTTTTCCAGGTGGCAAATGCCGGTTCACAGCTCTATACGATGGCCCACAAGCTGCATGCTGTGGAACGGAGCCTGGAACAGACAACCATGGAACAGATGGATGAAATGGAGGTGCTGGAGCTGCTCGAGTCGATGAGCGAGGTGACCAATGAGTACCAGAATCTGCGCAAGGACATTCGGGAGGTGCAGCAGTTGCAGCGTGACGTCAGCAGCTCCATACGCTACCAGATGCGCAGCATGCAGCAGACATTCCATACGCTTAAGCAAAGGATAGCCACCTCCCAGAAGCAGCAACAGCAGCAGCAACAACAACAAAAGCAGCAAAGTCAGCAAAAACCCTAAATCAGAGTGGGAATGGGATAGTGGGCTATATAATGGTAGGGATGGAGGGGGATATTAAAGGACCCACCCCATTGCCCCGCCCAGGCCGTTTATGAATAATCCATGAACTTTATTGATTGGCCTGGGCGCTGAAAATGTGTCAAAGTGGTGGAGCAGGGAGGAGGGCAGAGGCAACGGGAATGGGTTGGGGTTTGGCGAATGGGGAATGGGGGTTAAGAGGTCTCGGGACACCAATCTGAAGCAATCAACTGTGTAACTATATCGCTAATACACACCACACCAAGCATTTAGACTCGAAATCAGATCCTCTACTTTATACGATATACTTAGAGAACTATAAACCAAATAACACCCGATATAAGCACACAACACGCACACACTTCTAGGTCTTAGGAATAGCGTACTTTACGATGAACCGAATGTCTGATGCACTTTTCCAAAATTTGCCTTAACATAATCGTATTTGAGCTAGTTTTTGATACGACACGTTTTGAAAATATAACTGATACCCTGTAATACAAAGCATACATATTAAGCTACACACAATGGCAACCTGTTTTTGGTTATTCTTGTGTTTGTTTCACTTTTTGGAAATTTGTTTGTTGAACGAAAAATAAATAAAACGAATAAGTTAACAAAGCCCTAAATGGGAGGGGAGTTTGAATTTGAAACGTGCGCCACTTTCCTACAAGATATCGATAATTCTTGAGACTTGTTTTATAAAATGGCCGACTGTTTTAGATTATTTCTTGGAGTATATTATTTTCCAGGATAGGTATCTTTAATGCTTAAAAAATTAAGTTAAAATCATTAAATCTCAAAAAACCTATCGATGACTCCTTTTAACACTAATTACCGTTACAACTCTGATCGCTAGCGATCGGATCTTATTCAGACGTTGTGCAACACTAGACCGTTGCGTTCGCGTAGTTCGTCACGAAATTTGTATTATTGAATTGTTTTTTTTTTATTTGCATTTTGCACCTGCATTCAATAATAGTGATCAAATATGTTTTGCCAGCAGGTGTTGTGCCAAGCTGCCAACGAGGCAAATGAAATGCACTAACGGTGAATAATAGAAAAACAGAACAATTTCGGCCCCCCACCCGTCTGTGTGTCAAAAATTTGTTTATTTGTGACGCCGCCGCGTTTGTGTGTGTGTGTGCGTGTCAACATTTGTGGCAAATTCGTATTAATTTCAAACCGAATCGGCGAAAGAAAGCGGAGCAACAAGTGTGTCTGCAACATATACCCTTCCCCTTTTAAAAACACCTCTCTCTCTCCTTTCTCCACTGCAATCAGTCCTCCCCTACCCTCTCCCGCTCTCTTTCTACCGTAGAGAGAGCGCGCGCCTGCGCCTTGTTCTCGTTTTTGTTGTTGTTGGTGTTGCTGTGTGCTTACGTGTCCGCGAAATCCGTAAAAAAAAAAAATCCGCAAAATGTTCGGATATTGGCTGACTTTGGTGGCTCTAGCCATTCTGGCCAATGGATCGCTCTCCTCGGCCGGGGAGTACTCCGAAAATGCCGAAGTTCAGGTGGTACAGGAAACGGAGGACTTCCTGGATAATCCCCACTACTTGAACAACGAGGAGATTGGTGAACTCTTCGATAAGATATCCAAGGATTATCCGGAAATCGCTCAGACCTACAGCATTGGCAACTCCATCAAGGGTCGACCCCTCAATGTCCTGGCCCTGAGTTCCCGCATTCCGGACTCCGTGAACGGTGATCTGCTCCGTCCCATGGTCAAGTTGGTGGCCAATATCCAAGGTGACGAGGCATTGGGCCGCCAAATGGTTCTCTACCTGGCCCAGTACCTGGCCGCTCACTACGACACCGACAACGAGGTCCAAAAGCTGCTCAACACCACGGATATTCATTTCCTGCCCACCTGTAATCCGGATGGCTTTGCCAAAGCCCAGGTGAGTCAAGATTCTTGGAAGAAAGCTCTCAACAGCTGTGGACGAAGAAAAAAGTGAATGTAAATGCCTTTCAATAATCAACTTTAAAGATTGAGAGATTAACTTTTCACTAATATATGTTTTAGGGAATAATCTAATCTTAAACTGGAACTAGAAATTCCAACTAAAATAGAACAAGAACTAGAAGAAAATATATAGTATGTTAACCTTTTACTAGTGCCATGATTCAGAATCTATCGCCCACATCTCTCTCTGTTTTTTCCCCCAACTCATCATCTCTCGCTCTAGCATTTATGGTATATATATATATGTATATATATTCCCATTCGATCCGCTGAGCTTTTGTTTTGAATCGTGTACGCTGGGCTTTTGTTTACCGCAGAATGGGAAAAATAGGAGGGGGGGCTTTGGAGGTAAGATCTGAACTGAACTCTCTACAAACTATATAGACATTCTCCTGGAAACCAGATCTCGAGCACCCCGATCGGAATGTTGACCCACTTAACAGCAGCTCTAGCAACGCGGTATGATCGCTCAATTAGCACTCAAGAGTCTAGAGTCTAGAGTATCTGGTGCATTTATGATTTTTATCCATACTTTGTATCTTTTTTTACCTTAATGGCCATTCAATGTCTTGGCCAAGTGGCACTTCCAGCTTGAAGATGTTCAAGTGGATAACTCTTAAAATATTATTTGTATATCTTTTAATCTTTGTAAACCTATTAGAATAGTAATTAATTATCAAATGAAAACATCTTTAAAAACAATTAAATGCAAAATAATTTATTGCAAGCTGTCTTAACTATGAAACTTGGTTCTATTTAATAATTCTATTTAATCATTCTCCCCCTTTTAATATATGACCTTGTTAATCCACCACTCTTTGGGCAATTCCTGGCTTAGATTAGATTAAAATGTTAGTAAACAATTTAGCAAGCCATTGAAAAAAAGGGTTACAATATTAAATAAATTAAAACCTTAAGTAATTGTTTAAAAAATATTTAAAATATGTTTTTAGAGTCTTTATTTTATTGTTTTCTTGATAAACTTTTTTTTTAAGAATTTCGAGTCATTTTTTATGGTGTATGGGGTTAGTGGTGACAGTTTTATGGCCTCCCCCTCGTCCAATAATCGGGTGATAAAGTAAACACTGTTAGTCGCTCCGCTAAGCTTGACGGCTGACGTCATTATTTCGCAATTGAAACAGGGAGGGAGGGCATTTGGGGTGGTGTTGCAGCTTGTAGTTGATGGTAGTTTGTAGCGAAAAATAGCAATTACCTTGCAAGAAACTGGTTAGATGTCACAACAACAAGTAACCTCATGCCTCATGCCTTTTCTTATACATATTTTTTATTTTTTTCTCTTTAACATTTTTAATGTTTCTTGATTTGATTTTATTTTGTTGCAATTGAGACACTTTATTTGCAACCGGTTTGTAGTTGTTGTTGTAATTGACTGCAAAAAAGTTTGCCAATTTCCGCTGCATTTGCGCGCGTTGACAGTATTTTTTATTCCATTTTTATAGCCCCCCCCCGTGTGGCAGCTGTGCGGTTAAGATGATAATACAATTCATTGGGGTATCAATGCAAGACGTGTTAAGTTCCCTAAAGCATTGATTTTTTAATATTTTTGTCTTTACTTTGTATATAAAGTAAGGAATTTCTAGAATCTCAATGTTTCATTTTATATAAATATTAAATAATGATAGGGTATTAAGGATTCGCTATTGTCTCTCCGCAATTTCTCAAGGAAGTGCATTACTCCTTTGCCAGCACACCCCTCTCTTCGGCTGGCGCTCGCTCTCTCTCTCTCTGTTTACGCAGATCAGCTTTCCAATCGGACTATCCAATTGTAACGGGAAGGAGAGTGGGAAGTGAGTAAGTGGAGTGGGAGAGCGTGGAAATGCCCATATGCTCTTATATTGATAAGGCAAGGCGGGCAGGCAGGCAAGACCTTGTCGCTAATTTCATAGCATTTGCTTATCGATAACGGTAACCCCTCTCTCTCGCTGCTGACGCTCTTCATCACTGTTGTTTGGGGGTGGTGGGGGTGGTAGAACCCACGCAAACTGACACTGTGACGTCACAACGAGTGCGTGGGAGTGAAGGAGTTATCGATTTTGTTGTGCGTCTGTCGTCTCTCTGTTTCGCTAAAAATATCCTGTTGACGTGCGGGATGTCTCTCATCTCTCCCACACTCTCCCCATGCGCAGGCGCCCCACTTTTTGGGTCTGGCAACTCCGAGTCCCATCTATAATTGTGGCCATTAAAAGTGCTTAAATAAACCATTAATCGGCTGTAAGAGTGTTTTTTTGGAGACAAAACAAAGCTTTCCCCCAAGCAATAGAGTGTGATTTTTTTTTTTGTGTTAAAGCTAGTGCGCCTCCAGTAATTTCCCTACAATTAGCGCCTATTTTTTTTTTGTTGCTTTATATAGTGTTGTTTTGGTTGTTTCGTGTGAGTTCGTACTCTCCGGCAAAATTGTGACTCTCTGAGCAGAGCAGAGGCGGGCAGCCGCGACGCCGACTGAGACGGGACGGCAGCGCTTAAGGCCAATCAACGCAGCAAATTTTCAAACAGTTGATTTTTCGAGGCTGAGCTGCAACGACGACGGACGACATCCCCAGACGGTAGACAACAGATATCATCAGAGGGCAGCCATCAGCCTCCTCCCACCCGCCCCGCTGAGAGGAGACACAATCAGTGGCACCTCCGAACATAACTGTATCTGTAGAGCGTCACGCCGCCGTTCAATTTGCACACCAGTGATAAACGAACACGAGAGCTCCATTCCAATTCCGAGCTCCAAGATGATGGGCCTTTGGTTCATTCTCCTATTCGCGTCAATGGCCCAAGGCTATACCATCAAGGAGGAGGAGGGTTTCCTTCAGAATCCACACTACTCCAGCCAGGAGCAGTTGGAGGATTTGTTCGCCGGACTGGAAAAGGCCTATCCCGAGCAGGCAAAGGTCCATTATCTGGGACGTTCCTTGGAGGGCAGGAGCCTGTTGGCACTGCAGATCTCGAGGAATACGCGGGAAAGGAATCTGTTGACACCGCCGGTGAAGTATATCGCCAATATGCACGGCGATGAGACGGTGGGCAGGCAGCTGTTGGTATATTTGGCGCAATATCTGCTCCTGAACTTCGATCGGGTGACGGATGTGGGCAGGCTGGTGAACAGCACGGATATCTATCTGGTGCCCACCATGAATCCAGATGGCTATGCCCTCTCCCAGGTAAAGTTGCCTTGGTCACCTGTTGGGTTATTTTTTTGGGGAAAAATCAATAGTTGTTGACGTAGGCGTGTATGAGGGTTACTTTCGGTTGGTATTTGTGGCACTTGCCACTCTTATCTCTCCCTACAAGACCACCCCACCCCCTTCACCCCTTTTAAAATTTAGTTCTGATTAAAAACATTAGTATTTAAATTCTGAGAAATCTGAGAAATAGTCTCTATATATATTCACTGAAACTGATTCATCAGAAAAAATATATATGTATGTATATATTTTTGAATTTCTTTCGAAAGGTGGTACATCCCATTAAGTTCCTTTATGTTTGAAAAGTGAATCACTTTGGAGGATGACTAGCAATCCAGATCCAGATCTCGATCCGGTAGCGTGATCATGGCTATAATTACTCTTCCCCGATGACATGATCCATTTAATTCTGGTGGCCCTTTGATGGTGTTATTCCATGGTTATGC